GTTTTACTCTCTTCCAAAAAAGTAATAAGAACCGTGGGAGCAATGAAACCCAAAATGTGTAATAGTCATGGTACAAAAGAGAAGAAAAGAAAGTGCTCCAAACTATATAACTGCATGTATATTTAAGTGTATAAGATAGAAAATGATATCACAGAGTTTTATTGGATCAATGAACAGAACTGTTTGCAGTATCATTGATGGAATGTCCACTTTACAAGCTCTAATTTTGTGACTTGAACAATTATTTCTAAGATGACAATATGTAATCCATTAACTAGTGATTTCCTACTGTTCATTTTTTTTCTGTAAATCTGTATAACTTGTACCCTTTCCCTGCTTTTTTTTTCTTTTCTCCTTAAATAAAATTAAAAAAAAAAAAAAAAAGTAGGAAGTTCATAATAAAACATGTGGATAAAATTACGTCCTTTTCAGATGCTGAGAGTGGTAGCAGCATTGCACAGTCCTAGAGATCAGTTTGTTCTCCTGAAGGAGCGAATACTTTGAATCGTGAATTCCTGTCTCCAGGGGAATGCCTTGCAATTATGCCTGGAAAGGGTTTTTGTTTGATTGCGTAGCCATTTCCTGTTTACTGCTTGTTTACAGCTATACTCTAAACTTTACTTTAGGAGAATATACCCAGTGAAAATTGGATATCTATTCAGTTTTCTATCCAGGCAGTAAATGAAGTATGTGTTCATACTTCATTTACTTGAAGTACTTGAACTGGCATTGAGTAGGGGCCATGTACACCAGGCGGTGTATACGTAGCTGTGTATATGCTTTTTCAGCCAGGCCTTGGTGAGCCTTTCATAGACAGGGAAACAGTGTTAGAGGGGTCAAGTCCAAGTAATAGAGCTAGCAGTTGTTAAAGAGGGCGATCCAGACTTGTGCCTTGCTGCCTTTTAAGACAGTCACCAGTCGTTCATAGTATTGTTCTAGGAGGTCCTCGAGAGTCTACAGTAGGGGCTGGGGATATAGCTCAGCTGCATGAGTGCCTGCCTAGCAAACACAAAGTCAAGAGTTCAATTCCTGGTACCCCCTCCCCCAAAAAGTTTACAGTGAAAGTACTCCAGTGACCTTAATGTGCAAAAACTTCAGGCTAGCAGGTAATAAAAGATGGTGTGATGGAGAGCAGGCACAAGTAATATTTGTTAGCATGCAGAAAATAGGCCATGAGGAGGATTCCCTTGAGCCAGGCAGAAATGTCTGTTGGAATATGTAGGACTTCAGGGCACGCGAGCCTGAGGGAAGAGGAGGAGCAGTGACTTTATCAGAAGCGAGTCGCCTGACAGCTTTAATCAGACTCACTCCTTTATTGGAGCTGAGCTCATCTTTGTGCTTCCTCTGATGTGCTGTTTCAGAAGAGATTGATTCCAGACAAATAGAACATAGCTGAAGATGAAACATGCCTGGTGAGCGCGTGAGCTGCAGCCTTCACAGCGCGGTGATGGTGGCAGTGTTAGAGATACTTCACAGGCTGCGTCCTCTTCCTCTAGCGCGCTGCTCTGATTTCTGCCAGCCACGTTTTGAGGGGCAGGAAGTTGAAAACTCACCCCCAGACTCTTCAGGCCTAGTGTGGTGGGTATAAAGGAGTACTTTTTTCTTTTAAGTCTCCTCTTTTATATTTAGGAAAAACTTCTGCTTATTTCCATAATAAATTAGTGGTTATCTCTGACCCCCGCAGTCTGAGAGAGCGGCACCTGCTGGGGCTGCAGGGGCAGGACGCCGCAGGGCTCCTGGTGACTTTCTCCACCTGATGAGTCCCTCTTGTTCCCTTGCACTTCTCAAATGCGGAGTCCCAGTGTATGAAACTCGTGCTTTGTTTCCCTTGATGGCACAACTGTGAAAAGACTTGGTCCCTTGACGTGTCTCCGCAGTTTTATTTTTGGAATTTCCTTTTTTGTCTTAGTAGGGGAATGTCACCAGATATGTCTGTCTGATTCAGCAGGAGCTTATTTTATTCTCAAGGTGCTGCCTACTAGTTCTGTGAAGGGACGGTAACTATACATGTGATATTTAAAGTGAGGGGCTTAGCCTGGGTCTTGCTTCTTGCCATCTTCTTCTGGGCTTGGGGTAGAAGTAAATGATTATTTCTGTTTCCTGGGTGGAAGAAAGCAGCTCAGGCCAGCGTGTGAGAACACTGACTTCAGGTCACAAGTGAGTGCCAGCTGGGCGCTGTTGCACAGGTTGTGTTTTCTGGTCATCCAGGGCATTTCCCATTTCTGTTAGTCTTGAGAAAAGTTTGGTGCTTTGTGGTCATCTAACAGCAGTGAAAGTTCCTTTATAAGGCATTTTTGTTCCTAAATCTCATGTGAAAGGGTTGTTGCTGATCTATTAATACGAAAGATTTGTTCAGGTTAAGCCAGAAAAGGCCTTTGTTGGAGCATCATTGGTGACTTCTCCTCCTGTGACTCATTTTGACCCCTCACTGTTTTAATCTTCCTTGATGCCGTTTTTCCATTGTCCTGTTTCAAGCCCTCTTTTCAGTTGGTATCCTGTCTTATGAATGACATCTACACAAAACTCTTTAGCTCTCGCAGATTTTGAAGTCTTTTCTTTTGGGCTGACCTATCATCGTGTCCCATCAGTGTTGCCCAGCAGGCAGCCTCAGGATTGCTGAATAACGAAACAAGACGTGGGTGTCCTGACTTGAGCTGAGCGAGCTTCGAGCCCTTGCACCCCGTTGCTCTAGTGACTGTCTGGTGTCCAGGGACATTTTCTGGAAGTCTTCAGGTCTCTCAGCAGTGGAACGTAATCATTAGGTAGATTGAGTTGTCTGCAAAGAAGGCAGCCCTAAAGTATTTTAAGACTGAATTTTGTTTTAAGTCCTAAATTCAAGAAAGAAACAGGTTTGAATTTTAAATCGGACTGATTCCTGCTTTAGACATGTTAAAGATGTTTGTTTCCTGAGAACAAAGCTGACTGAATCATAGAAGAGATAGTAGCTAAAGTTTTTTTCCTACTTATTTTTAGTGCTAGTATTTTACTCCTTTTTGAAATATCCTAAGAAGGTTATGGCTGAAGAGATTATACCTTGTGGTTCTTAGTAGGAATTTCAGTGTCAGTGAAGTTTCTTCAAGGTAGTTATGGGCTCTGTAGTATGGCATGTGCTTAGCACAGCCAAGGACTTGGATTCAATTCCCATCACCAACAAACAAACAGACAAACAAACCTAGAATAGTACATTTCGGTGCAATAAAGCCATGGAACCTAAAATGTCTAACTTCATTTTTTTGCTAGAACAGCAAATGGGAATGACCAGTTAAATATTCTGGAAAATTGCTGTATAGGTAGTCCGCAAGGAGAAAAATTACCCAAGGGAAGGAAGGGGACGGAGGTCTTCTCCTTAAGGTCTGAGAGCTGTGCTACAGTGCTGAGGAACGCCCGCAAGGTGGCGCCAAGAGGTTGCTTACTGTTAGGTCCCCAGCTGGCACCTGGAGCTCTTGAAGCCCCATTAAGCCTCACCCTTTGGTGAACGATGATTCCTTGTTGCTGTAACCTCAGTTCTGGCCCCCATCTCCCAGAGCACCCATAGTGTTGTTATCTGTGCTTTGTACTCATGTCTGGCTGCAGTCTACCTAAAAGGAAGGCGTGGGTATTGGCTTCCGCTCTCTCTGGATGGCAGGGTCTCCAGAGCAGGCTGATTACACTCCTTTCTACGTTTCCAGCAGTTCCAGGGCCAGGACCTCTGAGTTTGGTTGCTCGGTTAGCTTCTGTGGATAATGTCTAGGCTACTTGTGCACTTCCATATGGCTCACCTTCAGTGTATGTTTGCTAGATGAGTGTGCATATGTTCCTAGCAGCATACAGACTTTGAGAATGAGCATTTTGTCCTGTTGTTTGTCTAGTTTCATTAACCTCCTTCTGCATGAAACCGGTCAGTTTAGAGAGAGTTGGTTGGAGAAACCCTTCCCATGGGTGGGTCTTCCCTTTAGCCCCGTAGTTGGTCAGTGCAGTGGACACTGTGCATGAGACAAATGGCAGATGGCCACTGAGTAGGAGTTTGAGGACAGCAGAAAGAATCTGCTTTGTATCTTTGTTTGTCTGCCTCCTTTGGGCTCCCAACAGGGAATCCTTAGCTGGCAGGGCTGTGTGACCAGGACAGGAAACCTGCTCTTACTGGGGAGGGTTCTGGGAGGGGCGGAAGGGCCATGAGCATACTTTAGCGGATTATATCATCTTATTGGGGATCATTAAGTAAACAGATATTCAGTTTTTCTTTTTTAGACAACAGATAAGGACTTCAAGCCTTTCACCTTCCTTCTGAAAGGAATTTGAAAAGGCTTCATAATAATGTTATCTCATTAATACAGGCAACCAGTCATCTTCTCAGCCTGACCTTGGCTCTGGCTTCTTCATTGTGTCGATGCCTTTTCAGAGTGTTCACTTTGGCAGCATAGTCAGAAGTTCTGTGTTTGATAGCCCAAAAGCATACAAAACTCTGAGCAAAAGCATTTGCATTTACTTAATTTTAAAAATGAGCTACAGTCCAGGTGATACCAGAAATAGTGTTGAGGTGGTATCTGACTTCTCGCGAAGCTGTTTGTTTAGATCTCTGGGAGTCTGATAAACCAAGGCCATGTTTTTATTTCTAGAGCAGGGAGTACCCAAGCTAGTAGTTTTGACCTTTCAGTGTTTAGAGAAACAGAGATTCTGATTATGAGACGACATGAAAATGGCAGCTTTTCTTGTCCATTAAAACCAGGACTCACTCCTGGCCATCCTTTGTCCTTTGTCCTACAAATGAAGCAGGGACTGTGACTCTTGCTCTTTGGGGTGGTGGTATTTTAAAGAATGATCAAAATTGACCTGTTAGGTACTCATCTTCTCTGTGAGTCTTTATTTTCCTATGACGTTTGGCAGTTGAATTTTAATTCATTGGAATATAGTAAAGTAGCTTGTAAGAGCATGTTTAGAAATATATCTAATAAATCTTTTGAGAGAAAGTTTGAGAACTGCTTGCACAAGTCAGTGTTGCTTATATGTCTGCTTGTTCTTAGGTGATTGGCGAGGACAATGTGGCAGTCCCCTCACACCTGTACAAGGTGATCCTGGCGCGCAGAAGCCCAGAGTCCACTGAGCCACTGGCACTGGGGGCCTTCGTGGTGCCCAACGAAGCCATTGGCTTCCAGCCGCAGTTAACCGAATTCCAAGTGAGCCTCCAGGAACTCGAGAAGTTGTCAGGACTGATATTCTTCCCTCAGTTGAACAGAGCTGGCAATATCAGGAATATCTGTGCCGTGGACACCTGTAAGCTCCTGGATTTCCAGGAATTCACTCTGTACCTGAACACAAGAAAGATCGAGGGAGCCCGTTCATTGCACAGGCTGGAAAAAATCATGGAAAATTTGAAGAACGCAGGGATTAAACCAGATGATTACTTCCTGAGTCGCTATGAGAAGAAACTAGAAGAACTCAAAGCTAAGGAATAGTCCAGAACCCAGACAAGAAAGCCATCCCAGTTACCTCAGAAGATAAATGCTGGGCTGCTCTAAGGAAGCAGGCATGCTGTCTGCAGGCTCATGTGTTTAAAGAAATGATGGAATCCTAAATTTGACACTGAAATTCTCTCTGCACAATGAATGATCTACAATTATTTTGTCAGTATTATTATTTTTTTTTTTTTTTTAAGCTTGGGGACTAATTAGTAAGGAAGCAGTCAGTCTACAGATGGAGACTTGATCTTGTGTCAAGTTAACAAGAGGACCGTGTCACCAGGATGGCATTGCATTTATGTCCCTCTGGATAAATAGTATGGAGAAAGGCACTGTTCCCTTGTGTGCCTCCGAATCATAGTGTCTCTAATATATCTGTTTGCTTAGCTTCTTAGGACTTGCTATTGATGTTTTCTTTCCCTAGGATCTGATGAGCTTTTAGAAATTTCCATTAGCCCGCCTAGTACAGTGTATAGTATAATTTATTTTTTCTTCTCTTCTGAACCGGCAAAGCACCCAACAGCAGTGTATTCTGCTCAGCAGGTTTTTCCACGCTAAGCTCAGTGCTTTGCTGGTGTTGTGCTGTAGTGAACCCTGAGCGGAAAATACACTGGTCTTATTTTACCTGTGAGGAAGTTGAGGCTCAGAGAGCTCTGAAGCTTGCCTGTGGAGGTCTCCTTTTCAAGAAAGTCTCCTGCAACACGTGGGGCACACAGGGCTAAGAGAAGCAAGACAGAAAGAAGGGTCAGGTTTTCCCTGACAGAGACATGACCTCAGACACCTGCCACTTACTTCTGTGGGTGTCTGTGGGCTCCAGGTAAAAGAGTCTGGTTTTTGTTTGCTACAAGAACTAAAGGGACTGTAATGTTTTCAGACTTGAATCTTCCTTAGCTTGTGGAAAAATGTGAGGACGGTGCTTTGTGGGGTTAGGAGAATGCCTGCTTAGCTCCCAGGGCCGTAGTGATGGTGCGGTGCCAGCATCTGTGTCCGGCTCCCTCTGTACCTGTGGCCCTCCTGGGTGGCACAGAGCCAGGAGAGCCTGGACCCAGAGCTTCAAGGGTTGTTTGCATCATGGACGAAAGGGTAGCTGTTTTCTGAAGCAGATCTCTAGAGTAGGGTTTACCCAAGTCCTTTCATGTGGTAGCGTAACAGTGACAGTAAAATATCTTGGGGACACAGACTTGTTGAAATCTGTCATACCACTGCTGTCCTTTCTTGGTACCCCAAGAAAACTTTTGTGTGGTATCTCTGTGCTAGTCTCTCAGGGAGAGCAAGTCCTTAAGGCAGTGAGGAGAAGAAAATGATTTACTCTGCTGCTTTTGTGAGTAAAAGGAAGAGTTGGGAGGTCGAGCCCGGTCGTCTTAGTAACACCTTCTGTTTAGACACACTGTTCCCGGTAAGTTGTGCCGTCCTTCTCACAGATGTAGAACCAAAACGTCACTGCAGCCAAGGCCTGTTCTCCCCTCCGGGGAGGTGATGGCCTGAGGATGGAGCTGCAGGGGATGAGCCTCTGCAGCCAGCCAGTGCTGGGCCCGCCGCACGCTTGCCTTCTGCTGAGCTCCCTGCCACGCTCTCCTCCGGGGTGGTGGAGATGCGTGAGTTAAAGCATCTTAGGGTTTTATTTCTTATGAAAGATATTCCCTGGCCATGGTAAAGAGTAGAGGTAGGGACTGTAATGCAAAAAGGCCATATTTTTATATGTGGTATTTGTTGGTCTGTAACAGTGATGCTTGAATTATTGTCTGAACGCTTTCACTCTGACTTCCCCCTAAGAAAACCATGTGTCATGCTGAGTAGAGCTTAGAATTTTCCTCTGGATGAGGTCATTTGGTCGCCCCCCAGTGTGGCTGTCAGGGGCAGCAGAGCTGTGTGTCTCACCCTAGCAGTAAGTGTGTCCCTCCCGTGGAGAAACACTCTGCCAGTCCCCACCCGCCAGGGCAGGTGCAGTCCCAGTCTTGGCCTGTGTGCTCCTACTGTCCAGTCCCCCTGGGAGGAGGGCGGCCAGGCTGGATGGCTCTGCGGCGGGAAGCCTGTCTGTGGGGAGGATTTTCCCCCGGAGAGAAACCCTTTGATTTCCAGGTTGAAGCTCTTTGATCATAGGTGTGTTAGGAGTGGACCTGAAGCAGGTGGCAAAGCTTAGGTGGGCGGGCATGTTAGCCCTTAGATACCTGCTGGCATTCCACCCCATACCTTTCGGTTCTCCCTTGGGCCTTTGGTTAGAGCCCAGCAGGACAGGCAGCGTGATCCGAGGGAATGGCTCCCTGCAGAGCCGACACGACCTGCAGCCTGTGCTGGCAGGGAGCAGAGTGTTGCTGCATCCCCTGGCTTTTCCTCGGGGCATGTGTCATTGATGTCAGTTCTGTGGATTGCCCGCCCGGCGGTCTCTCCCTGGAGCCTGTTCTCTGCCTCGGCTCAGCCCTCCAGCCCTGAGAGCTCTTGCTGTGTGGCCCTGTGGTGCACCTCTACTTGCCACCCAGATCCTGCTGGCTGAGCTGGTCAGGGCTGGCCTCTCCATCTGGCCTTTATTCCTCAGTGTCATCATCTGGGATTTTCTAGAGTGGATCTAGTGGTCCTTTTTGCTATTTTAGGAACTGTTTTTTGTTTTTTTTTTTATCCTCAGTATTGTGCCTGGAGTCTGTGTACCAAGTTGACATCTTCAACCCTTTTTATTTTTTGTTTTGAGACAAGATCTTACTAAGTTGTCTACGTAGAACTTGAACTTGTGATCCTCCTGCCTCAGCCTCCTGTGTACTAGAATTTCAGGCCCAAACCATTGCTTCTGGCTAGGAACTGCACTTTGACATGGGTCCCACGTAATTTGGGGCAGTGGTATGTGGCGGTGGTAGAGTGTCTTCTCTGAAGGTCCCAGACTTGCCAGTGTGGGTGGGAGGCTGGTCTGCCCAGAGTGCACAGAGCACCTCTAGGGGTCGCCGTGGCCTAGCGTCACATGGAAGGTGCAGCCTTAGCTGTGGCAGTGCCTCTGTGGAATGGCAGCTCTCAAATTTCTGCCACCGGGATGCAGACTCGCCAGGCAGAGGAGCAGAGGTTATTCTCGCCCAGTAGGCACCGTGTTTGGCTCACAGAATAATCTAGTAGCTTGAGCCACCCTCATGTCACACTCCCTCCATATTTGCTTTCTTTTGCTTATTTGCTTTCTTTTATTTCTTGAGCCTAAAGTAATTTGTTGTTAAAAAGAGATCTATTTGCCAAAGTGATCCAAAACATCTCTTACACATGTTTTAAATTTAGGGTTTTTTCTTTTTTCTCTTTTTTTTTTTTGTTCTGGGGAATCCAGCTCATGAACTCATGCTTGCCAGGCAGGCGCTTAAATCCCCAGCCCTTTTAAATTGAGGTTTAAGTAGAATAAACCAGATACAGAAGCTTAACTATTACATAGTTTCTCTTATATGATGTATAAATAAAGAGCAAAATAAAAAAGAAGGGGACCATGAGATGGAGGGAGGGGCAAGAGAGAGGAAGGAAGGGGATGAAAAAGATTTCAGATGTGTTGTGTGTGGGTACCAGCCCCATGATGAATGTAATCGTTATTATGAATGATGTGTACTAATTAACATTTTAAAAATTTCAGTTTTAAACAGGATTCATATTCTTTACCCCATCTCTTAATCTAGAAGTCTATTTGGTTGGCTTAAAACAATACGGATTCCAATCATACTCTTGAGATTTTGATTCAGTAGATCTGATCTGAGGCTAGGACCTATATTTTTTAAACAAGAAAATAGGTGATTCTAATGTACAGCCAGAGTTTTAAACCAGACAGTTTCCTACTCTGTCCCCACCCTTTTCCAGAACAGTCCTTACATGGGCCCTCCATGTCAAGCCAAGGTCCTTGAACTCCTGAGTAGCTCTACAGGAGAACTTTATCCCATTCTTTGGGCTCCAGGTACCTGGTTTCCTTAATAGCTACATGGCTTGTGTCTTGGTATCCCCCCCAAAGCCTCACGTGGTCCTGTGTGGGGCTTTTAAGAAGTGCCGGACCTGGTGTGTGGTTACTAAATCAGTCCACTGATTGGTTTGGTACAGTTCTGGGTGTGGATAATGGGAAACCCAGCCTGGGTGTGGGTGGTACTGCCCAAAGTGGGCTAGTCTGGAAGAAATAAAAGCAAGAGGTAGGCTGCTGCCCTCTATGGACTGTTTCTCCCCGGCGATGCCCCTCACCCTGCCACCTCGAGTTGGGGCCAGCCAACCATGAATTGAAACCCTGTTTGGTACCAGGGATTAAACTCATGACCTTGCTCTTGCTAGGCAAGCATTTAGCTGCTGAGCTAAATCCCCGGCCCTGAAACCTTTATAAACTGAGCCAAAATAAGCCTTTTCCTCCTTTAACTTTGAGTGTTGGGTATTTTGTCTCAGCAATGATAAAAGTAGCACTTCCTAAAATTAAGCTGTAGTCTTTGATACAACTTCTCCATCAGTAGCAGGCCAGCTCTGTTCTAGCCCCTGTGATGCAGCGGTCACATCGCGGGAAAGCACTCAGCACAGATGACAGTAGTGCGGGTTGGGACACGCTCCTCTGTACCACTGCTTCGTGTGGAGCTTGTTTCAGCTAGTGCCCCAGGTCTTTTCCTCATGAACTGTCAGGTTCGTATCCCATGATGCATGTGCACAGTCACTTTTTGGAACACAGTTGTGGAATTTTACATATGCCCAACTCTTAAGATTTCCTCTTACAGTTTCAACCATCCTTAAACAAGTTCACAATTTTGACAAGTCTAATTTGGCCATCAGACATGTTAGCTGTGCCTCTCAGCTTTGAGACTACAGATCAAATAAACAGCGTTTCAGTGTGTTAAAAACATTGAACAAGACAGGGCCAAGGAAGATCTCTTTGGTAAAAAATTCATGTTATTGCCAACCCTGCACTCACCCAACAAGTTTCTTGTAATGTGTGCAGATAATTTCAGTTAAACTCATTGCTGTTTCTTTAAAAAGACAACACTAAACCACAGTACAGCAGTGGGTCTCTGTGGCAGTTTACCTGTGAGTCACTGGGACAGGGAGTGGCATGGCATGGCAGGGGACAAGTGGGCCGGCGCTCTGGGCTCTGTAGGGGGTTAGCTTTGGCCAGCTTCCTCCTCCGAATCAAGTTCTTGTGCACGGGCTGAGAATCACCTGCAGGAGTGTATGAGGATTGGACAGACTGTGCGGTTCAGTAAAATCTTAGCAAGTGGTAGCCATTTACTGTGTATCCTGAGAATGAGAGTCAAGGCATGAAGGTCATGGTGTTCTGAGAGGGTGGAGGACAGAGCCTGACCCCACAGTGGCATCGAGCTGTGGACCAGGTGGAATCAGTTTTGTCTCTTCCCAAATCTCAAGTCTTTGTATGAGATGTTGCTGCAGCCATTTGACAATATCAGAACTTTACAGTTTCCAAAGCACTTTCCCAGCAGAGTGTCAAGTCCATCGTTGGCGTAAGTGCTACCCAGTCTAATATTTGCCCTTCATCTCTGAAGGAAGTTCAGTTTTTTTAATTTAGAATTCAGTCATTTATGCATTTGCTTATCTTTGCCTTGCTGTGCCCTGCCGACTTCCTAGAGGTAAGCACATCATGGAGTTGGTTCCTTTGGGATCCTTGGGGGTTCTACTAGTAGTGGGTGATGGAATGTTTTGGAGTTACCCAGGTCAGAAAAGTTGAGCATACCCTAACAGCTCCTGTTCCCTCTTGGGAAGCTAGGGATTGGGGACAAAGGGCCGCTTGGTGGTTGTGGGCAAGTCTGTAGGTATTCCGTGCAGAGCAGCCGCCTGCGTCTCCTCACAGTGCTAAGTGGGGCTGATGGAGTGCCGGCATTTCCCTGGCATCCCTTCGGGCTCTGCCTGAGGCAGCCAACCCTGGTAGGGAAATGGAAGCGTCATGGCGGCAGTGTCCTGGCAGTGGGTGGGGCACGTGCTGTGTGTTTGGGTCTGGGCCAAGCCAAGCAGAGCTCTGCCCTCAACTGGGGTCTTGGAATGTGTGTGTTCTCTTCTCCAGCCCTGTCACTCCGCAGGCACTTGATGAAGTATCCTTCCTCTGGCAATGTACCCTTAAGGTTGCCTGGCTGGGAACAGTGACAAGCAAATCCTCAGGAGTACTGTGTGCTCCGGAGACTTGGGCACAGCCGGCTCCTTGTTAAGGCGCAAGACAGTGTTTTAGTTCCCTGTCACTACTGACGGAGGGCTCCTGGCTTCTGCAACCCCTAACTGCTGTGCTCTGTGTCCACTGCCTCAACCTCCTGGTGCTTCCAAGAGTGCCTTGGGCCCTTGCCAGCTGTGCCATGGAGACACAGGTGGCAGAGGCCTGGGCTGGGGAAGGCATGAAAGAGCTCCAGCCTGGGATTCTTGCCCCTACTGAGTGGAGCCCAGGACAACGTGCCACAGCTGTGCCCTCTCCCTGCATGAGGCTGAAAGCTGAGCGGACTGGCCCTCCCTGGGCAGGTGCCCTCACACCCCCATCACTGTGGCCTTTGGAGCCTCTCCTTGTTCCCAGGCTGAGGCACAGACCTTTCTGGGCTGTTTGTGGCTCAGATCCTGTCTTCTGGCTCTGGTTCCTATGTGTCCTTTGACATTGTGCATCAGTTTCCCTACCTGTTAAGTGAGGGCCGAGGTGAGGCAGCCTCCAGGGGCCCTGTCCACCTGGTGTGTCCTAGAAAGAATGCCTGCCTTGGAGAAAGGCAGCTTGCAGGAGAGGCACAGCAAGATGGGCCAGAGGCTGCAGGGCAGGGTGGCGAGGGCCTGGAGGAGGTGTGAATGAAGGAGGCAGAGCAGGGCCAGTGTGGACAGCCCTGTCCCGGCCCTATCTCCTGTCCGAGACACCCTCTCGACACCCCAGCACTGATAAGTGGGTGTGAGCCATGGTCGCCTTGTGACAGGCCCTTCAGCAGGGAGGGTGGTGGCAGGTTCTGAATTCAGACGTCAGATCTGCCCCTCACCCTGTTTCTCCGCCAGCCTGGAGAGACTCAGCAAAGCAGGCCTTGTCCCTGGCACTGCCTTGGCTTGGAGACTTAGTTCATGCTCCACGAGGGCAGGTGGGACGCAGACTCCACGGGGCTTCTGGATAGCACCAGACCATGCCTGCAGTGATGGCAGCTCCGAGCCAGCACACTGTTGCTTCTTATCATGTGTGCCAGTCCTTGAATTCCCATGGCCGACATCCCACAGCTTTCCACCCCCGACTTGATTTGTGGGCCTCTTTTCCCTAGAACCCTAAGGCATTGTTCACTGAAGGCAAAAATTCTCTTTTTTTTCTGGCTTCGTGGCCATAGGGTAGGTAGGGGAGGGTTGGAGAAAGAAACAGAAGCTTGAAACTGGGGAAGGAAGAGGGGAGACATAGGGCTGAGCCCAAGGCCACAGAGAGACCTCCGGGATGGAGGGTCTGTCCAGGCCTTTTTTCGATCTGAAAGGCGCTCTTCTGTGGTCAGATCTGAAGGTTATTTTGGTTTGTAGGCTGCAGCCATTTGTACCAGGCAGCCCCAAGTCCACGCATGCGCGCGTGCATCTGTGTGTATATACACGCACGTGAGGGGTATTCATCTTCCTCTGTGCTTCTGTCCGTGGGTTTCAGTCCCAGCTTCTGCACAGCGTATGAAGCAGCACAGCACACTGGCTAAGACACAGAGCTTGGTGCCGGATACACTGACCTGGGCTCAAATCCTACCTCTGCCATTTTGCCAGGAGGGAAACCTGAACAAGTTGCTTAGCTGCCGTGCACCTGAGTTTCCTGTCTGGGGAACTAAGAGGATGACCTTGATGATAGACAGTGCCATCTACCTTAACATAAGAGAGCGGTTCCCACTGAGAAATATGTGAAGCCCTTTGAACTGTGCCCAGCACAGTAAGTACCATGCCACTAGTAATTTTTTCATAAATTTTAATGTAGTGTCAAACTTGCAGAAAATTCTCATATACTTTTTTGTAAATTCGCTCATTGTTTTTGTCTTGCTCATTGAGCTAATCGCTCTCTTTATCCCTCATATGTGTGTTTAATATGCTCTGTGTTACATTGCACATAGACTAGGCAGAATACACCTACACATATACACATGATGCACACATTCTTTCCTCAATTGTTTGAGAATAGGTTGACTAGCACTTCTTAGGGATAAATGTGTCCTTCCCTTGTCCATCGCTGTAGCCTTTGGAACTTTTCCTCATACATTTGTGTATCATCCATATTTACATTTAGTCGCTTGTCTCAGTTTTGTTTTCAGTCTTTGTTTTTCCTTCCTTTTCCTGGGTCATCTATTGTGTTTGTCAGATACTTTCAGCCTCCTTCGATCTGACAGTTTGCCAGCCTTTCTTTGATTCTTGAACTTGACATTGTTTGAAGAGTGTATTTTAGAGGATGATGCTACTCAAACCTGTTTTGGCATAGTTTTTGGTTATACGGTTTTGGCCAGGTTGCTGTGAGGCGATGTGTGTTGGTGGGTATCGCATCAGAAGGTGGACTGTGACTTTCCTGCTTGCTAGGGGTGTTACCTTTGCTCACTTGGTTTTGGTAGTATCTGTCAAGGCCCACACTGTAGAGTTACTGTTTTCTCTTTGTAACTACTGCCCATTAGTTTTCAAACACTGATGATTTTCTACTCTGTCCTTCTTTCTGAATTTGCTAGCTGATCCTTCATGTGGCTTCTGTCTTTTGACGTATCTCCAGCCCTCCTTGAGCACTTTCTTACTTGATACCACAACAGAGTTTTCTAGGCTCCTGTGATACTTTCTCAGCTCTACCTCCGGATTAACCATTTTACCAAAGAGTGGTGAGTGGCGTTTAGAGACAAGGTTGGGGAGCTGGATGTGCAGATTGACACCAGCGCATTATTTTCATTGTCTGTTCACTCAGATGCAGTGGTGGGGAGACTGCTGAAGAAAATGTCGCTCAGCGTTGGGAGGAGGACAGGAATAAGATGACCTGTGTAAAGATGCCTCTGTCCTTCTCTGCTCTCTGGGTCTTTTCTGCCTCTCTTTCTCTCTTCATCATGACCTCATCTCCCCTTTCTTGGTCAGAATTCCTCTGGAGATTCCAGCTGTGGGAACCTCTGAAGCTATTTCCCCAGTTACGTGTATGCTGTCAGAGGCAGACAACTATGTGACCTTTGTGTGTGAACAGTCAAAGGCAAAGATAATTTATGAGAAAGTTTTCTGCTTAGAACAGTCTGGTGACAAGGTGATTGGGGAAGATGCATTTGGAAGATTTCCACCTGGAAGTGTTCCTTCTTCCTGCATGAGGGCACTCAGCCCAAAGCCTGTGTAGAGGGAGGGACAGGCTGCCCGTTGAAGGTCTGACCCTCAGCATTCTGGGAACCAGCCAGGAGGACTCATTCTCATGTCCACAGGGAGCAGGGACAGTTTAACCAGAGATGACAGACCGAGGATAGCCATTTGAGGGGCTTCCTTAGTTAAGCAAGTACAGGGCAAGTGAGGAGCCTCGCTCCCTGCTTAATTAACTGTTCTGAGACTAGATTCAAAGTGCCGTTCTACAGGGGCTAGTCTCTGGAGTGGGGGTGGCTGTCTCCGTAAGGAGGAGCCCAGAGCCGCCTGGAGGGAAGAAAGCACCGTCCAGCTGCTGCTTCTTGGGACTGAGGGAAGGAGGTCTGTTGGCGTGGAGTCTGCTGTCTGTAATAAAGGCTCTAGGCTAGGGGCCTTCTGAAACAAATCCTCTCTACAACAGAGGGTAGCATGGTGACAGACTTGCAGCAGGGGTCTGCCTGGTTGGGTAAGGCTGGTGTGGGCAGGGCTTGAGGTCACTGCTGGGAGACGTGCTGTGCTGAGATTGTGCCTGCACTCCTGGAACACAAAGCAGCTCCCAGTTCTCACTTCCTGCTGTTCCCATCCTGGTTCGTGCCTCCATCGTCTCTGTTTAGTGAAGCCACTTGACTGGTGTTCCTTGTTCTTTCTTGTCTCCCACAAGCTTTGCCCTCAGAGAAGGTGGTAGGAATTGTCTAAACCTGGTTAGCAGCTACACCCCTTGCTGCAAATAATGAGAAGTGTTTGCACTCCAACAGCTTCATGTAGCTCTGGGTCAGGCCCGGTCAGGTCCCCTCTTGTCTCTGAGTCTCCGCTTGTGGGCTGTCTGCCTGTGGGAGCAGACCATGAGCTTTCCACGTCAGGATCTCCGCACCTGCTCTCCCCTCTTGGAGATGCTCACCTCAGATCAGCTCCGCGCTGCATCCACACGAGTCTTCCCTGCCTCTGCCCTGGCGGAGTCTTGTTGCACTTCTGCTTCTTGCCAGCTTTGTAAGTAGAGCAGACCCTGTGTATAGAGGTGCGGTTAGTATTTGTCTCCCTGGCTTGGCTGTGGGCTGCATGCTGGCAGGAGCCTTGTCTGTTCTTACTCTTGATAACTCCAGAATCTCAAAGATGCTCAGAACATGTTTGTTCAACGAAGAAGGAGCCAATGCCTGCATCTCCCAGCTGGTCCTGAGCGTGGGCTGGCCTGCCTTGGCGAGAGTGAGGGAGACAACCTCCTGTCACTCATGCTGGGTGGCTGCTGCTGTTAGCCCTGCTGGCTGGGCTTTGGCCCTGCTGCTCAGCACACACTTACCCTTCAGACATCACAGTCTCCACAGGAGAGAGGATGCATGGTCAAGTGGTGGTCAGGGCTGGCTGGGGCAGACACATGGGCTCCTAGATCTGTCCTAAGCAGACTTCTCAGCAGGAGTACAGGAGCAGAGGAATTGGCCCTGTGTCAGAGGCCTGGTGACAGTGGGTGGTGAGGGCAGCAGGAGGTAGTGGCTGGCCCAGCGAAGAGGAGGCATGGGGTGACCAGGCTGCCAAGAGAGGTCTAGGGGGCGGGCGCTGAGGTCCAGGCAGAGCTGCCCACGATCAAGGAGGTGACAATGAGTGTGAAGAGCGTGTTTAGTGGAGATGAAGGGTGGCAGGACAAGAAGGGCAGAGCTTTGTCCCCTTGACCTCGCTCCTTCCCGCCCTCTTGTCTTCCCCACTCTCACCCCTGGCCCTCAGTTCTTCCGCATCTCTCTGATCTGACCTTCCAGAGCTTACAGGACGCCGGTCCCTAAGCCCCTCAGCTCCGCAGCCTTGCAGTTGCCAGCTCCCTAGCTGTCCGCCCCCCCCCCCCCGCCCGGCTGCCCTGCAGGTGGCCTGGACCCTGATGAGCGCTGAGCCCTTCTCTCATCACCTCCTCCTGGCTCCCTTGGCACCCTGGCACCAGCCCCGGATCTGCATGTGCTGATTCCCAGCCTCCCTGCCCCCCTCCCCATGGCAGTGCCCCCAAGGGGAGAATCACTTTCTTTGAGGGTCCAGCTTTCCTACACAGGTCAGGGGCTGAGGGTGGGGACTGAGACTGGGCCTGCAGAATGGTGGGGCTGCGTGGGGAGAAGCTCCGGTGTGAAGGTGAGAGTGTAGTGGGCCCCTGCAGGCTAAGGGATAGGTCCCAGGCTATTCATTTCCCTTGCTCTTGCCTAGTGTCACTGCCCCCACCAATTTGTCTTGGCCTCTCCGTCTTTCCCACATGATGCTCTCACTGACAGCTGGGAAGCTGAGCCCTGCTCCTGCTGCCTTGTGTGTAACTCTGCTGTCCCATGGCAGATGGCTGCCGGGGGTGCTCCTAGACTGGAGACTGGAAGGGTGTGTCAGTTAACAGCGTAACTACGGGGTGGATGCTACCGTGGAAATGAGGACCTGTGAGAGGTTATCCAGCTTCCCATGATCATGTGATCATTTACAGACGGAAGTAGGCTCTGAAGAGAAGAGAGAGAAAGACAGAGAAAGTCCCGGAGAGGCTTATCACCATCATCGTTATCATCATCATCCAGTGCTTCGTATATACCAGGAACTGTTGTAAATTCTCTGCGTGTCTTAGCTTCCACAGTCCCCTCATAAAGCTAAGGAGGGAAGTGTTCTCATCCCCATGTCCCAGAGGAGGAGCGCAGACCAGCACAGCGAGGTCAGTGAGTTTCCCTGGATCATGCACCAAACTTGTGGCACAGCGATGGAATGTGGTCACGTGTCCAGGGGGCTCGTTCCTTCACACGATGGTGGCCAGTGAACGTAGGAACAGATGCTCAGCATCATTATCATGGAAATGCTGATCCAGATTATAAAAGATTCCCTCAAATGGCCAGATTTAGTTACAACAAAAGTACTAAGACTGTCTATACCAAGATGGGCGTGGATGTGGAGCAACAAGAGCTCTCATTGTTGAATGAAAAACAAACACACACTTTGGAGACTATTTTGACAGTTCCTTATAAAATTAAAGACATACTACTCAGATAACCCTGAAATTCTTTTACTATTTACCCAAATGATAAAACATAAGACCTTACAAATGCTTAGTACATACACGTTCATAGCAGCTTTATTTATTGTAGACAGAAATTTGTAGACAACCCAAATACTCACCAGCTATCGAGTAGAGAACAAAATGTGATACATCCGTATGACAGATTCTTCTCATTAGGAAAGTACAGCAGAAGGACATGCAATTGCATGGATCCAAATGCATCGGGCTCAGTGAAAGCAGCCAAGTGCAAAAGGCTACCTACGGTGTTAGTTCATTTACAGAAATGCTCGAGAAAAGGCAAATCTATAGGAACAGAAAACAGCTTAGTGGTTGCCAGGAGGTGGGGATAAGAAAAGTGTTCCCTGCTGTGCGGGAGACTGAGAACTCATGTGATGGCTGTGTGCCATGTCTTGAGTAAGTGGTGGTGGCTAGCCTGTCAAAGTTTTTCAAATGGGGAATTTTGTTGTATCAAAATTATACCTCATAAACCCGATTTAGTCAAGCTTTTCTTTCTTTTTGTTTTTTTGGTACCGGGGATTGAACTCACGACCTTGTACTTGCCAGGCGTAGGCCACTGAGCTAAATGCTTTATAAACCTGATTTAAAAATGAAAACAAAGGCAGGCATTAAGATGATCTCATGGTAGATGTAAGTTACTTTTCCTGCTACTGGGACACCCACGACTTGAAGGAGAAGAGACATTTTAGGCTCACATTTCCAGTCTGTGGTTGGCCAGCTCCAAGGCAGAATGGCATGGCAGAGGGACACAGTGGAGGGGAGCTGCTCACAGCAAGTCAAGGAGCAGAGAAAGGAGAGGCCGGACCAGGAATGCACCCTTCCAGATGGTCCCTCAGTGCCCCACTGCCAACCAGGCCCACCTAACAGCACATCATGACCTAGTCACCTTCTACAGCCCCATCTCTAACACATGAAGCTTTTAGGGGGCACTCTACGCCTAAACCATAACAGTTGACCTCGTGGCAAAAATGACATCTTCAGGAAGACTCCCAGCACAAAGGAAGTGAGTCAGGCTGCTCCTGCGGAAAGAGCGTATCAGGCAGTGGGGTTGGCCAGTGCTGAGCCCCAAGCCTGATATGCGCAGCCTGTCTAGGAACCAGAGAGTTCATGTGGCCCGAGTGCAGGGAGAGACAGGGCTGCTGTGGACTCAGGCAGGGCATCGGGAGCTTGGGTGTCAAGAAAGGGCTGAGCGAGGCCTTGGTTTATCCTCTTGAGAGCTCTGGGAAGAGCAGTGTGCTGAGCTGATGGACTGTTGTGGTTGGCCAAGCCTGACATGCTGACAACACCCAGCGGGTAGGAGGCAGAGAGGCTATCACAGGAATCTAGGGGAGAGATGGTGCGAGACCATGTGGCAGTGGTGGAGGTGTTGAGGGGTGGTTGGACTTGGGATGTATTTTGAGTAGAGCCAACAGGATTTCCTGCCGGATTGGGTGTGGGGTGTGAGAAGAGGCAATGACATCAAGGATTTTGGCCAGAGCAGCTGGAATCCAGCAGGGACTGCTTGGGTGCCGTTGGTGATTGTAACTGTCTCCTTAGGTCTGGAGGTGAAATCTAGACAGAGGCAAAGGGAGGCGCAGCTTGGCGCTGCTCCCGGCTCCGGGCTCAGGAATGGGATGCGCATGCTTGTTATTCCATTACCCTTTATTTATTGGCCTTATTGGCTTTTGTCATTTCCGTGTTGTCTCCTGTCTGGACTGAGGGCTATAAATGTGATGGATTGTTACAGGATACAGGAGGCCCAATTATCTCTGGTAAACCGGCTTTTCCTCTTGGGCTAGCCTGCCCCAACCTCCCGGAAGCAACACTCAGAGACTCCACACAGAAGCAGCCTGGCCTTGGCCTCCAGGAAAGAGGGGTGCCATGGAGAGGGAGACTGACAGACCCCCATGGTGAGATGGCTCTAAAGACAAATCCTGGAAACAAGCTCAGTCCCTAGCAAGTGACCCATGCCCAGGCAGGTAGGACAACAGGACATAGCCACTGATCAGTCTACGTCCGGGGAAAGGGTTCTGTGGTGACCTTACACGGCCTTCTGGAACCCGAGCCAGTCAGTCTCTCCGCAAAGACTGGGGGGATGAGGCTTTTCTCTCCAGTAGCAGGTGCATGGCAGCTGCCTGGGATGCCAGTTCCATGAGCTGGCATGAGCGGAAGTGCTTGTCAGGGAGGTCATTGCATATGCTGGGCTCAGTCTGGCTCATGCCAGTTTGGGATACCCAAAGAGGGCAGTGCCTCTTGCTGGGCCCCATTGTCCTCCTGGGGGTCCCCAGATAGAGTTTGGCAGCTGGTGCCTTTGAATGTCATTTCTAAACAAAACCTTTCCCACTCTTTTCTGATAGTCTTCTGTCCCTGGGAATGTCCTAGTCCAAGAGGATTTGAGACAGGAGGCCTAAGATTAATTCCTGGGATTTCAGACATCTTCCTTAGCCCACACCCCCAGCACTCTCCCCAACACTGATCTCATTATCAACTCTGTCTAAGTGTATACAAGTATGCATGTGTGAATCCACATGTGTCTCCATCGGGGTGAGGGTCTCAAATGGCTGTGCATCTGACCTGCTTGCAGAATAACACAGTGAAGGGCAGGACTGCTGAGGAGGGAAGGGGACTTCAGAGGATCAGACAGGTTTGAATGGAGAGGTGGAGCCCAGCGAATCCAGTAGGGGGATCCATCGGTCGGTTGGTCTGCTTTCTCTGCAAACATTCCTAAGACCTCAAGACCTAGCTCTGGGGAGGGGCAAGAGACACAATTGTAAACAGACAGGCCTAGCCTGCCTTCACATCAATCCTGCCCACCCCATAGGGGCTTGGGCCTCATCTCCCTGCTCCTCCCAGCCTCCTGGGCACAAAGTCTTGTGGCTGTCAGGACTCATGGTGGAAGAGCGGCTGGCAAAGGGGCAGGGAGCTGCCAATGCTGTGGACCCAGGGTGAGAGCTGACATTTGTCCAGGAGTGTCTCTCTCCCTGCCAAGGGCTGAGATCCCAGGCTGCGTGCCTTCCCTCTGACACAGAAGCCGGCGTCGATCACTCAGAGTCACCGGCTGCCTGGACCCAGCCTCACCCCAGTGTGACCTGGTGACAGCTGCGGCCTAGCAGTAAGCATAGGCCTCCTCTCACCACCTTGGTCATGGCCTCGCTTGCCCCACCTCCAGGCGAGCCCACCTGCATTCCAGGACAGGAAAGACCCACGCAAGCAGCTGAAAAAGATCATACGCAGGGGCTGAGGACCCCGGACTCCAAGCCTCGGCTTTCAGGACAAGGAGCCTCGCCCCAGGGGACACCATGTTCCTGCAGCTTGTGAAGGGGGACATGTAACCTTTCTCGCTGTGTTAAAGGGTGGGGGGCTGCAGCCTTGAAGCCTCCTGCTTTCATGGACCCCCCAGTTACTGAGTTTCCTACCACGGACCAGTCACAGCATGAGCTCTGAGCATGCAACCCTGAGGGAAGCAGATACGGACCCTTTCTCTGTGTTTCCTTTCAGCCATGTTCACTGGGCTTTCTAGTCAGAGAGGATCTGCCGTCACTCACAGGTCGCGCACACACAGAACAGCACTCATGGTCACCTCCCAGGGGTACTGCTGTTCTCGAATGCTCTTTGGAAAAGAGCTGACCTTGGCCCACTGCCCTGCTGTCTGAGAAACTCCAGTTTGGCTGGAGAAAGACAACTAAGTAGATGTCATAGGAGGTTAATGTAGGCCTTCCCCACCCTGATTTTGACCAAAGGATGAAGATTCAGCATTTCAGAGTTCCAAACCACGTGTCTCTCATGGCAGACTGTTTACAAGGAAAATATCACCACTCATATGGCGTCTGAGAGAGTGGGCATGGGCTGAGGGAACCTGGGAGCAGCTTTCCTTGGAAGCAGCGGTTGCTGTGCTGTGAAGAACCCTGCCACCTTCTTCTGGTAGAGGGCCTGAGGGGAGTCCGCCAAGGGGACTTCACAGGGTCTCCTAGAGAGCTTTGAGGTGTCATAGACATGAAGTGGGCTTCACCTCAGAGAGCAAGCAAAGGGTGGCTGTGCTTTACTCTGGCCTAGGGAATTTGAGGGGAGCCGGGCCGGCTGCTCCAGTGGGGACCACAGAACGTGCTGCCATCCCAGTGTGGCCCTTGCCTAGAGTGGCTGGGGGAGCACTCTGAGTGTTTTCCTGGGGACCAGGAAGGCAGGCAGAGAGGGCCTTGGCCGAAAGAGGTTGGGGTTGGGCCACAGACGCTTATGGACAAGGGGAGACGAACCCCCAGAGGTCTCTGTAACACAGTACATTCCCTGGGTAGTGGAAACCACAGAAGGTCCAGTAGGGAGTCCACAAAACCCACAAATATTCCTGCTTGGCCTGGGCAGCTGACACCGTCCCGTCACTCCATATACTGCAGCTCTCAGGGGCAGTGGGAGGCTGTGAACAGTGACTCCAGGCTGATGTTCTGTTATGTAGGCCTAAATGCTAAATGGTCTGCCTGGGTCAGACTAGAGCCAGGGAGGGTGATCTCCAATGAATAATGCTGAAAGGAGACAGAGAGGGACAAACTAGAGGTCAGATTCTGTTCTTACAGAGGCCGTGTTTGCTCACATACTTAGGCTGCCCAGGTATTTGTGACATATTGAGTACCATGACAGTGGGAGTTCCGAAACTAGGATGGGTATTGAGGAAGGTTCTCACGGTAGGGACATCCTGCTGGGACCTGAAGCTCAGCAAAAAGGAAAACAGGTTTCTGTTAGAGGGAGCAGCAGCTGGCAAAGCTGGGGAGGAGACTTGTTGGAGTCGTGGTTACAGACCTTGGCACCATGAGTCCTGGGAGGGTTAGCCTTGATCCTGAGGCAACAGGAAGCCACTGAGAGGTTTCACCTAGGGACTGATGATCTTGGATTAAAATATCACTGGGGAAGCTGTTTGAAGAGTTTGGGATGGATGTGGTTAGAGGAAGGAAATGGTCTGGCAGTCTTCATGAAGCAAAATGCTGGTCCCATCCAAGGAAGGGGTGACCAGATGGAGCACATGGCCGTATATGAAAGATGTTAAGAAGGTTGAGACAACGTGGGGTGGGTGAGTGGGTGGGGGAGCAGGCAGTTGAACATGGCACCTGTGGTCATGCGTCCATAACCAGGTTTTGGGGCAAAAGAGGATTTCACTGTTCGAAAGGTTTTTGAGATGCTCAGAGTAGGCAGCTGAAAATTCTAGCATGGAGCCGGGTGGGGAGGCTTGGTCTAAAGGTAATGATTCAAGATTCTTGGGCTAGGGCTATAGCTCAATAGTAGAGCACTTGCCTACATGTGCAAGGCCCTGGTTTCAATCTCTGGCTGTGGAAAAAAAATGATTTGACTCTTCTTTAAAGGAAGGTATGATTGCACATGCCTCTATTACCAGCACTCTGGGAGACTGAGGCAGGAACATTGCAAGTTCAAGACCAGCCTGGGCAACTTAACAAGACACCTTTACAAAAGTTTTTTTTGTTTTTTTGTTTTTTTTTTAATTTAAAAGGTAAGTGCAGATGTAGCTCAGTATGAAAGCCCCGGATTCAATCCCCTATACCAGAAAAAAAAAAGCCATGTTTGTATTGAGTATGTTTCAGTCTTTCTGGAACAGAACCTAAGGCCTAAAGAACTTGGGCATTAGTCAGAGTAGAAAGAGAAGCAGAAAAGGCATAATTAATAAGACAAGAGAAGGCACAGGCAACAACTACATAGTCAGACAGATTGAACTTTGTGAAAATAAGAAACTCTGTCCAATAGCACCAGAGAAAATGGCAACATAGAATGGGGAAAAATCCACAAATCATTTATCTAGCAATAGAGAATTTCTAAACCTAAAAAAGCAACCAGACAAAATTCCGATTAAAAATAGTCAAAAGACTTGTTACAGATATTTTTCCAAAGAAGATTTATAAATGGTCAAAAAGTACAGAGAAAGATGCTCATCACCACTAGATACTAGTGGTATTATAAGGAGATACCATCTCATACCCATTGGAACGGTACTGTATCAAAAGAAAAAAAGGAAAAACAAATACTGGTAAGTATGTAGGAGAAATGAAACTGTTTTAGAGTTGGAAATGGGACATTCCCTGAGGAAGACAGTCTGGCAGCTTTTCATGAGAGAAAAAAATTGCTGTCTGTTCCAGCATCTCCATTTCTGGGTGAAGACACGTAAGAGTTCAAAGTAGGCTTTGCAAGAGATGCTTGTACACTCATGTTCACAACAGCTCTTATCACAACAGACAACATATGGAAGCATTGTATACATCCATCTAGTAGATAAACAAAATATGGTTCATGCACTCAAAGGAATATGATTCAGCTTTAAAAAGGAAGGACATTGCCACAAAGGTCCTGATATGGATGAACCTGGGCTAAGTGATGCAAGGCACAAATACTATATGATGCTAATTATCCAAAGCACACAGATTAGTCAAAATCACAGAAATGGACAACAGAATGGTGATTGCCAGAAACTGGGGAAGGGAGGACTGAGGAGTTAGTGTTTAATGGGTTACAGACTTTCAGTTCTGCAAGATGAAGAATTCTGGGGATGGACAGTGGTGATGGTTTGTAACAGTGTGGATGTGTTTAATGCCACCAAACTGTACAATTAAAAATGGCTAGTACGATAAACTTTACCACAATTTAAAACACTGGTGTGTGTGTGTCTGGGTGTTATGCTTTGTGTCTGGATGTTCCCACAAAACCTCATGTGGTCAGGAGGGGTGGGGTTTTTGGAGACAGCTGAATCTAGAGTTTGTGATTGGTTCATGGTCTAGTGCTGGGATTGGAAGTGTGAGATTTATACCTGCTCTAGGATGGATAGCCTGCTTACACTATAACAAATGGAAAGAAGCTTGCTCTCTCCTCTTTTGATGCTTTTGGTATATTCCACCACCATGAACTGTTGCCCCTCTGCCATACCACACTGCCTTAAAGCCAGCCTATTATAGACTGCAACCTCTACACACTGTGAGCAGATCTTCTCTCCTTTACCTTTTGGTGTCAAGTATTTTGTTCCTGTACTGAGAAAAGAAACTAAAACAGAATTTGGTACCAGGAGTGGGGTCACTGTTGTGCCTATACCTGACCATGTGGTTCAAGAGCCTTTGATTATGTCTTGTGGGAAGAGTTTGGAAAGGTCTGGAGATCCTGCCTGAAAATACAGAGCTGGAATACCTTAGCTGTTCTATATGGGAGATTCTGGTCAGAGAGAACACCAGAAGGCTGATAGAAATCCTGCCAGTAAAAACTAGGCTCAGGAGATTTCTGCATTGGTTGTTGGACTCCAGATAATGGTATGGCTTGGCAGAAAGTTCATCTGCATTTTACTCATGTGCAGAGACTTGGCCTGAGACTGAGATTAAGGGTGGCAGACTAATCTGGTAGAAGAAATTTCAAGGAAGTCTAATATTGAGGCACTAGCTTGGCTACTTTTGGGGGTGTTTAGCCAGGTTTATGCTGTGAATCAAGAGTAAAGAGCCCAGCAGAATGATTTAAAATGTGAGTTTGACCAGAAAGAAAACTTCAGTAAAGCTGTGGACTACAAAGATAGACCAGAGTAGATTTTAACTGCTTAGAAGGAAGAGTAGAAAAGATAGCCTGAGAACATTACAAAAAGCAGCCAGACTCCATCCTTTGCTGCCTCAGAATTGCAAAAGTGAAAGACATCTGCTTTGAGAAGAAAGCTGCAGAACACCATGTTCCAGAATGGCAGCAGCATAAAGAATTTGTTCCTGAGTTGGATTTAAAGTGCTCAGCAATCAACTCACTATTCACTATTCAGCAATCTACTCAACTCCTGTAGCCAAGAGAGAAGGAAGCTGGGTACTGCTGTATCTGGTGGTAGACCTCAGCATCAACCACACGGCACTGGTTGATGGTACTTACAGAACGCGGGAGATGTGGAGTTAGGAAGGCTGCCAGCCAGACTTCAGAAGGCCTGGGAGCTCAGGCAGTGTGTTCCTGAGGGGGCCATGTGTGAAGCTGTGAGTGTGAAGCCAAAGGTACAATGGAGACAAAAGTTTGGAGAAAACAGGAATGTGGATAGTTTGAGGAAAACTACAAGGAGGGAGCAGAGAGGGCCCAAAGAGAAGGCCTAGGAGCTACGACCACCAACAATGCTGTAGGGGTAGAGCCACTCAAGCCCTTTGGAGTTCAAATTTTGTCACAGATTGTCTCCAAAGCTACACGTGGATCTGCAGGACTTAATGTTTGTCCTGCTGGTTTTTTTTTTTAAATTGGTACCGGGGATCAAACTCACAACTTTGTGCTTGCAAGGCAGGCACTTATGCCACTGAGCTAAATCCCCAGCCCCGCTGCTGGGTTTTGAATTTGCTTTGATCCCATTCCTTTGTAACTGTTGGAATGGAAATGTCTGTCTTGTGCCATTGAATGTTGGAAGTTTTTAGCTTTCTTTTCGTTTGGGACTCACAGCTAAGAGGTTGCCTTAAATCTCAGAGAAGACCTGGGACTTGGACTTTTCAGCAGTGCTAAAACTGTTAGGACTTTGGTAAATTTTAGAGATGGACTAAATTCCTTTTTTTGTAAAGGAATGTGAATGAGTCTTTAGGGGTGGGGTGGAATGCTATGGTTTGTGTCTGGCTGTCCACACAAACCCTCATGTGGTCATGGTGGGGTGGGAGAGCAGGCTTTTTAGAGACAGCTGAATCTAGAATTTTTGATTGGTTCATGGCCTAGTGCTAGGGCTGGGGTGTGAGTGCTACATCTGCAATAGGGCAAGTATCCTGCGTACAATATAAGGGATGGAAAGAAGCTCCTTTCTTGTTGCTTTTGATGTCTTCCATCACCATGAACTGTTGTCTCTCTGCCACACTATGCTGCCACAGAACCAGCCGATTACAGCCTGAACCTCTACACACTGTGAGCTAAATAAATCTTTCTTCAACTTTAGGTGTTGTGTATTTTATCCTAGCAATGAGAAAAGTAACTACGATGATGGAGAGGGGAAATACGTGTCCACAGAAGTCAGAGGAGGGAGGATTTCCAGAGAGAGGCTGCTGCCACCGAGTTAAATGCTGTGGAGAGGCACAGATGTGGGCAGAAGAGAGGGAGCCGCTGCATCCAGCCTTGGGAGGTCCTGCAGACTGGAGGAGCACTTTTGCTAAGCGGTGGGCTGGCGGCATGGAGCCACAGATGGACTGTGGAATGAAGGGAAGAGATGATAAGGAGGCCAGTGCCAGGGATCACAGATCTAAGGTAGCCCAGCCCTGGGAGCCACCTGGCTTGACTCTGGGTGGGGCCATCCCCTCAGAATGCCCAAGTATCCAATCACAGGGGCACATTGCTTTGCCCATACCCCACTTGTGCTGGCCTGGCACATCTTCCCGGTCACTTTCCAGGGAAACAACCTGAAGTTCTTCCTGGTTCTTGGAATCCCCCCAAATCCCAGCACCCCACTCTCCAGTCTTGCTCCAGCTAAGGTCTCCTGACAGTCTTTTTGCAAAGCTGCCACCAATTCCATCAAGTGTAAGTACAAGAACAAAGCCTAGATCAGGTCAAGTAAGTAATTTATTGGTTTGTTTTAAAAATATGCATTTTATTTACACATGAAGTTTGGTGAGAAGTGCTCAATTAGTTCGATAGCATCTGGCACTTGAGGCGTGGCCCTTCCCGCTCCCTCCCTCTTTCCCCTCCTGCTGTACATGGTGCAGTTCTGGAGAAAAAAAAGAGTGCCACCCTGACCTAAGGAGCCAGCTCATCCCTGCTCTTGGCTGCCACCCACAGCCAGCCCCAGCACCTGTCTCAAGGCTCCTGGACTGTCCACACACAAGCCAGTGTCCTTCCAGCCGGCAGGGAGGCAGCTCAGCTGCGTTCCTGCTGGGCTAGGGCATGGTGGGACACACTTCTCCAAGCCTTGAGAGCAAAGCACAGGTCTACAAAAATAAGATTTCCACTTGGAAAAGCATCACAAGGACAGTTAAAACCAAGTCCCACGCTGGACTCGAAGGGAACATGGGAGGGGTCTCCAGGAGTGGGCGGGTGGGGCTGGGGTTGTCACTTGGGGAACTGGTGACAAGAAGAAAAATAATACTTTACTCGCCGGCAATGCACCCTTCAGCACTGCCACGAGCATCGTAACTCCAGCCCTCCGACAGCACGGCGAGGTAGGTGAGGAGCAGCCAGCCTAGTGCGGGCAGGTGAGATCAAGCTGGCCTGTGAGGTGGACCCTTCAGAGGGCAGCTCTGCTGGGAAGCTGACTGGGCAATGGGACTCCTGCCTGCTCAGGCTCCACCAGCAACCCTGTCACTTCCTGTGACAGTGCTTCACTTTAAAAGATTTGCATATGCTAAATAGGATTGTCAGCAGCTACAGAGGTCCTGGGGGTAACTGGACTAGTAAGGTATTTTTCCCTGAAAAGCCTTCTTACAGGACCTATGGGACTCCCCAATCCCTGTCCCAAGGAAGTCCTACACATGGTACACTGACTCTGGTCTCCAGAGGAGATCAAAGTGGTGTCCCCTCCCAGGGATGAGAGCCAGGCCTGGCCATCCTGGGAGCTGTTTCCTGTGCAGGGCCACGCTACCCCCCTAATTCATGACGCTGCATCTGGAGAGAAGCTGGGGCCCAATGAGGGTCCCCCTGCTCTCGGCCAGAGGCACACGGTGCCGGGAGAGGCTAGCAGATCTGGAGAGAAGCTGGGGCCCAATGAGGGTCCCCCTGCTCTTCGCCAGAGGCACACGGTGCCGGGAGAGGCTAGCAGCTGCAGCAGCTTCCTTTTTTCACACCGGCCTGTAGCCCACCACAGTTGTGCGGGGTAAACTGAGCTCAAACCGCAGGACTCGGCCTTCTGTTCCTGGCCTGTTGGGTTCTGCAGGCAAGCACAAGCTGTCAGACCAGCTGTGAGTGGGGCTGGCGCCCTTGTTCCCATGAGGTGTAGAGTTAATACTCTGATAGGAGGGAAGCAGGAGTAGCATTCATGCCCAAGGCCAGCCCTGGAGCCCAGGCCAGTCTTCTGGAAGCCTTTTATTTTTGTGGAACTGACCAGTATGGCCTGCATAAGGACACGGGAAAATGGGAGCCGGGAACAAGGGAAGGCCAGAGTGAGGCCCACTGATGGAACCCTAAGGTGGCTGCCTGACACCGCCCTCTGTGGCCTAGGCCTGGCCTCGTAAGTGGGGAGTGTGCCCCTCAGCCCAAGCAGCAGAGGACGCATCTGTCCCTCCTCCGGCAGGGAAGGCCTGTGGGAGCGACACTGCATTCCCTTTTTTCGCTTTTCAGACCGAGCCTGCCAGCTCCCTAGGCGCTCCTGTTGGGGTTAAGAAGACGCAGCATGAATGGCTGCTGATATCCATGGAAAAGACATTAGTCCTTTGCTCAAGTAAAAAAATATCAAATATAATAAATTTACGAAAGCCTGTTCACAACACGTACAGTATATTTTATGTTTCACCTCAACAGCTGTGACGGTGAGTGCTTCGCAGAGCCCGGATGCTGCCTGGGTAGGCCAGACTCCTGGTATGTGCAGGGCTCCAGGGACGGCCTCCAGAATAGTGGGCTCCTCCGTGGCTTCTGGCTGATGACACCACAGAGCTCTGCTGTGTGGAGCCGCAGGCCGAGCCCATCTCACCCCTGTAGCCCAAGGCCAGAAAGGCCCCAGCATGCTGGTTTTGACTGCATTCAGGTTTGCCACAAGAGTGTGCATCCCAGCTGGGGGTGCTGGGTCACACTATTGACTCTCGGTCCCTCTCTGGGGATGCGGGGAAGTCTGCAAGATCCTCACTGTGGCTGTAGTCAGACACCCGCACCTGGAGGTTGTCACTAGTGGCCCTGGTGACGCTGTCATAGGAGGGTGGGAAGGACGTGGAAGAAATGGAGGAGCTGGAGGCTGGCCTGTCATGCCGTGAGAAGTTCTCATTCATCATGTAGGCGATAAGGCCCTCTCGCTCGGGGGCGTCCTCCTCTGAGAGGCCACCGCTGCCCGCCTGCTGGCGGAAGAGGAAGGAAGCGTGTTTCATGGAGCGCTGCAGCAGGTGCCTCCGGAAGGCTCGCTGGATGACTGTGGCCGATACCTCTTCGTGCTTGCGCCGGAGAGTGGTGGTGATGGGCTCGTAGGAGATCTTGGATGGGTTGGCCGCCATGAACTTCTCCTCCATCTGGATCTTTAGGGCATCCATCTCCCCAGACTCCCCCAGGACCCTCTTGGTGAAGGCGAAGAGGATGTCCATGCAGTGGATGCGATCCCCGCTCACCATGGGCAGGTCCATGTTGATGAGGCTGATCTGGTTGGGCTTGGCGATGCGCAGCGGTTCAGACAGGGCGTCAGCAAAGTCGGACAGGGCCGAGTACTCAATAAACTGGGTGGCCTCTGGGTCGAACTTCTCCCAGATCTCATAGAACATGTCAAAGTCGTCCTCGCTCAGAGGCTCAGTGCTCTCCTCTGTGGCCACGCTGAAGTTCTCCAGGATGATGGCGATGTACATGTTGACCACGATGAGGAAGGAGATGATGATGTAAGTGGTGAAGAAGAGGATGCCCACGGCTGGGCTCCCACAGTTGCCCCGGGAGCCATTGTTGTTGGGCAAATTGGGGTCACAGTAGGGGGGCCCCGTGTTGAGGATGGGGCTGAGGAGGCCATCCCAGCCGGCCGATGTGGTGATCTGGAAGAGGCACAGCATGCTGTTGGCGAAGGTCTGGAAGTTGAACATGTCATCGATGCCAGCCTCCCACTTGACATAAGCAAAGTTGGCCATGCCGAAGATGGAGTAGATGAACATGACAAGGAAGAGCAGCAGCCCGATGTTGAAGAGGGCGGGTAGGGACATCATGAGGGCAAAGAGCAGCGTGCGGATCCCCTTGGCCCCGCGGATCAGCCTGAGGATGCGGCCAATTCGGGCCAGGCGGATGACTCGGAACAGGGTCGGGGAGAAGAAGTACTTCTGGATGATGTCAGAAAGCACCGTGCCTGTGGGGAACAGCAGGATGGTGGCCACTGACAGAGCCCTGTCCCGACAGGCCAGCACTACTCTCTGTTCAGTGAGGAGCCAGGGGAGAGGGCCCTTCCGGGAGGACTCGGTCCAACGAACACTCTGCCTCCTCCTCATCCCAAGCTTTGAGCTCAGGGTCTGAGCCTGGAGGGGACTCACTCAGCACCTCAGTAGCCTAGAACTCAGGTCTTACAGCTCCAAGGGCTTAGTCTCTGAGGGCCAGAGATCAGGGGCTCTGGGTGCCTATTAGAAATGTGAAATCTGAACTCCAACGCCAGCCCATTTCTTTTAAATGATCCTAGATGATTCATGTATGCATGGGGCGTGGAGGAGCAAACCCGTCAACCCAACATCACACCGTGCCTCAGTGGCTTCTCTCCACTGTTCTATAACAGTTTCTGTCACCTTTTAACTTGGCTTCTCTCCAGGGTTTTGCCAGCCTTGGGTCTCTAGTGATTACCTGAATTTTGAGTTTTAAGGAACTTGGGCATAAATTACAGAAGTGTGAAGCAAACTTGCCTTGCAGCAGTCCAAGTGAGCTTTCTAGACCCTCACAGAGTAATAATTTGTGTGTCAGTAGGGCACCAAGCCAACTACTTTATGGCTATTATTCCATCCTGACCTTCCCATCACGTGGGATAAGGGAGCTGATCCCATCCCCCTCATTTTCTAGAAAAGGGAAATTGAGAGGGTAAGGACACTACTCAACTCGCTATTGAGGTGAGAAGCAAGATCTGACCGAGACACTCTGGCTCCAGGCCGACCTTTTCATCACGGTTTCTGGTACGGCTCACAGGCTGGGAATGGAAAGCCATCCTGAGGTCCATGCCACCCTCCAAACTACCCCCCTGTGGCTCTCCCTCATGGCTCACTCCTGCCCTCCGTGTTCTGCACTGTCTAAGGGTCTCTCCAGCTCCGTGAGGCACCTGCCACCCTCAGCTCTAGCTGAGACCTTAGGGTGTTCCTGGCCTTCCCTGATGCTGCTAACCACCCGCCAATCACTGCAGTAACCACCGAGCTACCCCAGCCTCTGTGTCACCATCTGAGTTCACCAGGGTGGGAAGTCAGAAGTCGGAGGTACCCTGAGGTAAGGTAAAGGTACACAGTGTGGTGAAGGAAGCAATGTATAAACTAAATTATATGCAAATAAATAAAAAACAAATATAAATAGCAGCCATGAAGTGCTTGGTTTGGTGCCCTACTGACACACGCCAGCCAGCAAATTATTACTCTGTGAGGGTCTAGAAAGCCACTTGGACTACTGCAAGGCTAGTTTGCTTCACACTTTCTCCTATAATTTATGCTCGTTTTTTTTTTAATTTTTAAATTTTTTTTATCAGTACCAGGGATCAAACTCACAACCATGTGCTTGCAAAGCAGGTGCTTATGCTGCTGAGCTAAATCCCCAGCTCCCTATGCCCAAGTTTTTAAATAAAAAAATATATAAATTAAAAATGCCTGTACTTTAGTGGAAACCACTGAACCTTACAGATATGGAGAAAATCTTGCAAGTCATATACCTTATAAGGGACTAGTATTTAGATAGTAGAAAGAACTCTTACAATTCAATAATAAAAAGATAATTAACTCAGTTTAAAAAATGAAGCAAAAGATTTGCTTCTGGCCCAGGGGCTGGGAAACATGAGCAGCCAACCCCAGCCCTTCTCAACCCGTAAGTGATCAGCCGATCTGGAGAAACAGGGGCTGCAATGATACCTATTGAGGTAAAATGCAACTTAATACTTGTAGTGTTTAGTGTTTCACTGATTTTGCAGGTCTAAAGCCAGTAGTCTGATCACCTACCTGTTCAGAGGATAACAATACACAACAAGCATCTCTGGGCCATCTCCTTCTGAAGGTGATGGCCATTGTTAACTCTCTATTATCTTGTTTTGAAGTCCTGTATCACTTCCATTGTTTCATTGGGTTAGCTTTTGTTCTGTTTTGTTTTTTATTATATCTAATGGCATGGGCACCTGTTTCAAATATAACAAGCTATATCATGGTAGCCATGTTGGATTTACTATTATCTTGTTTTGAAGTCCTTTATTGCATTCATTGTTTTGTGTTTATTGGTTCTATTCTGTTTTGTTTGATTTTTACTGTGTCTGAAGTTACGGGCAGCTATTTTGAATAGAATAAGAGGTATTATGGAACCACTGTGGATTTCCTGTTGTCTTGAAGTCCTGTGTCACTTACACTGGTTTATTTTGATTGGCTTTCTTCTGTTTTATTTTGCTTGGTTTTATTCTCTTTAAAATTTTTTTCCATTGCACCATTAAAAGAAAAGACATTTCAGTGATAGACCGGGATACATATAATAATGGTCCTTCCTATAAGCTTTATATTGTATGGTGACACGGCAGCAGCCTTAGTTTGCGTCTCAGTCTGTGATGTTTACACAGTGACGAAACTGACCAATGGCACATTTCTCAGACTATCTCTTCATCATGCATGATGCTATTAAAATCCATAAATTGTACACTAAGACATGAATTTTAAATTAATTTTCTGGTGCATAAATTCTCTCTCAAAAAAAGCTATTACAGAACACATTTGGGGTCAGTGTAGACCAGACATTTTCTGAGCATGTCTAGCTAGTCCTGCAATTCCCTCCCTCAGTGCTAATTCTATAAAACAAATCCCAGGAGTCAGGGGATACCTGAAGCAAACTGGAGCATACCTTGGAGCTTAGACTCCAGAATTTTCCATCTTCAGGGATGATTCCCATGCTAGCAGGCCACTGACCTCTGCCCCTGGGAACTTACCAAACGACCCTCACTTTTCAAACCTTGGCTTCAGCTTTCCGTTGGAGGGCCAGAGAGTCAAATCCATTCCCATTCCCCTTCCTAGACTCCTTGGAACAGGGAATCTGTGCTTCAGGTCCCCTGGGGGGTGCAGTCAGGACAGGATGCTAAGTCCTCTGCTAGGCCAGCTCCTTTAGATCATTTGGGACCTCCCAGACAAGTTCTCCTGGGAGAGGTGTGCGTGCGTGTGTGTGCATGTGTGCGTGTGTGTGTGCAGATGAGAAATGCAGAGAAAGAATAAAGAAAACTGTGCCACACTTGGCAGCACGCAGAGGGCCGAGGGCTGAAGGAGAGGGCTGGCTCGGGAAGGTTCCTCCCCCTCGTCCTCCTGACTTGTATACCCACCCACAATGGAGAGGATGACAACCACAAAGTCGAAGATATTCCAGCTGTTGGTGAAGTAGTAGTGACGCAGGGCAGTCATCTTGACAATGCATTCGCCCGTGAAGATGGCCACGAAAAGCAGGTTGATCTTGGCCAAGATGTTCACTTTCTCAGGGCTTTGGTCATCCGTCTCCACCATCATGGTCACCATGTTCAAGCAGATGAGAAACATAATGGTGACATCGAAGGCCTGTTTGGTCACAATGTCAAATAAGAAGCCCTGGTACTTGTTCTGAAAGGAGAGGCAAAGGAGATGAGCTCGGCAGTGGCCTCAGACAGGCCAGTGGACCCCTGGGGCCGCTTCTTATCCTGACCACCTGTCCTCCTGCTCCGCCCTCGGTGAAGAGGTGACCCCCACCACTGTGCCGTGGCAAGTGCAGAGGAGGGTGTCATGGAGTCCAAACAGCTGGCTTCCTGCCTAACCACCCGGCCCTGAGGTGCAGCCAGAGGCTCTGTGCTCATGACGCTGTCCTTGATGGACCTTCAGGGAGAGAGTTTGCCGTCCTGAAGAGAGTTGAGTCTCTCCAGCACAAATTCATAGTATTTTGCCTTGTTCCCACAGGCAGAAGGCTCAAGTCCAGACTCCAATCCTAACAACTGTATCAGCCCTCAGATGAATATATTTTCTCTACTTTTTATGGGATTGATTTTATTTATTCTGGTTCTATTTATAGAATAGAAATTATCCTGTTTGTATGTGTGTTTAACTATAAACCACCCTAGATTATTCTGGGGCAGAGAAGATTGTAAAGAAGCAAACACTCAAAACTAATCTAGAACAGACCTTGGTGAGTGCACAAGAAACCACCAGACGAAAGTGATGAGCTGGATTTTAAAAAGCAGGCATGCCACTTATTAGATTTAGCTTACGTCACTTAATCACACTGGGTTTTCTTCCCTGATCCCCACTTTTTTGGAGAATGGTTTGACTGGGTCAAGGAACAGCCTGGCAGAGAACCCAGCACCCTCCACCCAGCTCTGCCTTCCCAGGGATGCTTGAACACAGCTCCTATAATGCAGAGGTTCTGAGGACAAGGCCATGAGCGGGGTGGGGACTTGGAACACTGCCTGAAGGCTGCAGGGAAAACCTGTACCCTGAAGGGTCAGCGGTGGCCCCTAGATACTACTGCCCTCATCTCCATTATCCATGTGAGACAGGGACCTCTGCGTGGGTCACACATCCAACAGCACCTTGATCTGGGATGACAGATTGTGAACAGGCTCTAGGGGCTGGCTGTGTGCTTGGGGGCTTCCGTCCTGAAGGCCCTCCCCACTCTGTCAGGAAGCCTGGCTCACCACAGGCCGTGGGATGGGCTTCTGGGGTTTCTTGGAGCCCAGCTTCTTCATGGCATTGTAGTATTTCTTCTGCTCCTCTGTCATGAAGATGTCCTGGCCCCCTAAGTGCAGAGAGACAAGCACTAATGTCATTTTGGTGTTCTCAGAACCCCAGCACAGAGATCACAGGGTCCTGCCTCCTTAATGAGGGCACCAGGGTCAACTGGGTCACCTCCTGGCTTCTTCTCCTGGTAGAAAAAGTGTGTCCCTATCCTGCATCAGATCTGCTTTTGCAGAGTCCCTGTCCTCATGCACCTTGAGATGTCCCTGCATTTGTGACCTGAAAATCCAGTGCACACCCTACCTCTTCCCCTTGCCCAGCTCAGCCAGCCCTGAGGTTTTCCCTGCCACTTGGTTTGTCTGTAAATAGTCTTGGCCTCCATGATGGAGGTACAGGAAGACCTTGGGCCTCTGCATGGCTCCACTCACGATTTCTGATTATGGACCAGGTGAATAATCCAACCCTTGCCCCAGCTGCTCTAAGGTAAGCCTGGCAGGCATCACATCTCCCAGCAAAGCCCCATCTTACATCCGCATCCTAGGCACGTTACATCCGTGCATGCCCCTGCTCGACCTGTTCCACTGCAGTAAGAGGACCAAACCCAGCAGGGAATGGAAGGTGGGCCCTGGAGCCACACGGCTCCTCAGTCCCTGGCACTGGTCCTGCCCTGCCCCACTCGGCCCATGTGGAGTGGTGCTCTACGTATCTTTTTCTTCTGTTGGTTGAAGTTGTCAATGATGACACCAATGAAAAGGTTCAGGGTGAAGAAGGACCCGAAGATGATGAAAACGACAAAGTAGATATACATGTAGAGGTTGTACTCCCACTGGGGCTGCTCTTCATACTAGGGGAGAAATCAGACAGGGAGATCAGACAGGCTGAGGCCTCAGGATTGGACAGGCAGGGGAGTGCACAGGGTCATCCTGTGGGAGAGGCTGTGTCCAGAGGAAGCCACCAGCATGGCTGTGTGGTTGTGTCTGTGACTGCAGGGCGAGGCCAGGGGGAGGTAGGACAGAGAAGGAGCAGGTGGTGGGAGCAGGCGTGCTGGACTGGGCGGGTACTGTGTTGGTATGCGACTTCAACTCCAGGGCCACTGACACGTTGGCGGACTGGGGCCAGACTTGTCTTCACTGAGCTGTCAGTGTGACTGTGACAAAGAAGCACTTGATTTTCATCTCTGATGCTGTCATCTCATTCTCCTGGTGAGATCTGAGTAAACTGTAGTGAGCTTAGTCTGAAACACATGTGAGGATCAGGACTGTCTCGGAAGGTTATGTAAACCTGCCCCAGAGCCAGGCCTGGTGCTCCGGTGGAGCTAAGTCCAGGTGGACACGGAAGAGCTTGCCCTGGCTGGTGGGGAATAGATGTGACACTGATCCCCTGGTAGCCAAACAGTCAAAAGCTTCAGGCACTCCATCTGGTGACAGAGGCAAGAGTGGTGACCTACCCCTCTGGAGTCCACGGCTGCATACATGATGTCCATCCATCCTTTAAATGTTGCCTGGAAGGAAACGAGAAGTGGAGAAATCTCTGAGCTCTGCATCTTGCTTGGGCTACGCAGGGCTCCAGTCTTGAATCAGAGAGCCTCCTCTAGGAGGCCACGAGGCCCCGTATGCCCATTCAGTTGTGTCTAATGCTGGGTGCCACACAGAAAGGTCGTATTTAAGGCTGAGGGTAAGGGGGTAGCAGCTGAACTGACACTGCAAGCAGGCTGTGCAGTGGGCGGTCACCTTCCTGACGTGCTTTGCAGGAAGGCTGGGGCCGGAAGGAGGTCTGCCTTCTGCTCTGCAAACACTGCAGGTTCTGACACAACAGAGTGTCAACAGCGTACATTAGGGACTCCCTGGCCTCAGTGCTGAGCTGCCCCCCATCCTGCCCCATACACTGTGTGCTTCAGGGAACGACACGGCCTCTGCTCTATGGAGTTTCCTGAAGCCTGTGAAAATTCCTGCTTTGACCTTAAGGGACTTTGGCGAGTGGTATATTGGTCTTGGATTTCCAGAAGGAGAAAAACTCATGTGTTGTGTTGGCCAATTTCTCTGATATAAATACTCCTTCGATGGTTAATTTCCAGTCTGCTATTGCTGGACACAGAGCTGGAGAGACACGTGTAGAAGGGCAGTGTCAGGTGTCCCTAGGCCACACAGAACAGAAGCAAATGACTTGCACAGCACAGATGATAACAATGCTGAGTTTCAAGTACTCATTACTTCTGTTTTAACCTCACTTAGTTAATTATGCATTTATAAAATGTGATTTTTTATGCCGGCTGTGCTTCACAACAGGCTCCCAAAATTTCAGCTGATGTCACACCCAGCTCCAGTGCAGCACACCAAGGGACGCCGGTGGGGGCTAAGTGAAGGAGACAGGCCTGAAGTACCACACTGGCCACCCCAGTCTGGGCTGCTTGGAAGACACAGAAGGCGCTGAGAGATGCACGTGGTGGTGAGGCCAGCGGCCCAGTGGGGTCTCACTTGTGTCCTCGGCAAAGCCTATCATCTCCGAGGCCCAGAGCCTCTCTTCAGTACCCAAGCTCTGCTACACAAACTTTCTGTGCCTAAGTGTTCTGAGGCAGTCAGGTGCCATAGTTTGCATCTGGAATGTGCCCTGAAGTCTGTGTGGCACAGACTTGGTCCTCTGCAAGGCTTACTGGATATGGGGAACCTTTCAGAAGTGGTACCTAGGGGGTCTGCGGGGCGCTGGGCTGATGCTCTAGAAGGGGAGTGGGGATGTTACTGTTGGGACTTAAGGGATGGGCAGAGTTGTGAGTGGATAAACGAAAGGTTTTCAGATGGTTCTCTACTGGGTTTCCCTTTCCTTTATGGGGCTCAAGATGTCCAGGTTTCCAGTTAGGTAAGCAAGATAAGCGAGGAGCAGCTTTATGCTTGTCATTCTGCAGGCATTTCTGCTGTCAAGGCTAATGGTATATGTCATAATCACTGATGTCATCAATTTCACATAGCCAATAGAAATTCTAGGGGCATTATGTGTTTAGACACTACATATCCTGCACACCAAAGGAAACATACTCTCTTAAAAAACACAAGGAGTGGTATATCCTGTTATAACAAAGGGTGGCCAGAGTCACAGTTTTACTAATTGTCCAGTCCCTGGTATTTGATGTCTAACTGGTGCCATCACACTGCCTACCAGATAGTATGATGAAGTCTACTTGACTGCTGGCCGGGAAGCTGATTCTACACAATGCTGACCTGGCCCTTGCACCACGCACCTTGGAGCATGTGGCACCTGTTCTACAAGTGAAAATCTGGGCATTTCCCAAGGTCCCGGAAAATCCGAGCCTCCTTGGGACCCACTATCCCTTCTGCCCACACCAGGGAGGAAGCAGATGCTGCTGAAGAGTTGGGGGGCCAAGTCCCTCCTCTTTGAGACTTACCACCTGCAGGAGGGCCAGGTACCCAGCCCCCACATTGTCAAAGTTGACCTTCACCTTGGTCCAGTACAACTCGCCAGTCATATTGAAGGACTTGCACTCGCTTTTGTTGTTCACAATGGTGTAGTTGAGAGGCAGGTCTCCCTCAGTCTGGTTGATGCACCTCCCAAACTTCCCCGCAAAGAGGTTCACGCCCATGATGCTGAAGATGAGCCAGAAGATGAGGCAGACGAGCAGGACGTTCATGATGGAGGGGATGGCGCCCACCAGGGCATTGACCACCACCTCAAGGGGAGCGAGTGGAGATTCAGTTCTTGGGGGTGCCCAAAGAAGCCTCCCTTCTCCAGACTTCCCACTGAACTGAGTCTCCAGGTACAGGGGGCTGTGGCAGGGAGAGTAGCGATCTTAGGGTCATGGAAGAGGCCAGCTCTGTGGCTGGAAGCCCTGGCGGAACACACATGCCTTTCTTTACTGCAAATGTCTTTCCCTTGTGTGTTATGCTTTGCTTGTACCCAGGACCTTCAAAACTTGATTTTTACGGAATCAGGGTCTCTCTCAGTTGAGGATGTCCGCATTTTGATGGAAAGGGTCTCCAAAAACACAGCCCTAAGGCTTTGGGTCTCATCTCAGTTCTAATGGGCTTACATTTCCTGGGATAAATTTCTGTTTCATGTTAGGGTTACTGCTGCTGAGACCAATGGGCATTTTTCCCTGAAGTACACCCAGGAGACCCTTGTGTGACATGTGTGGAGGACACTGTGACAGTTCTGCTCAGGTAAGGCAGATGACATGGGTCTCCTTGGGCCTCTTTCAGTGAGGGCCTGTCTGGCACCATCAAGTCATGGCCTCAATCCTCCTTGACAAATTCCCCAGCACGTAGGAGAGGGCTCCCTGGAAGATGTGTTTGGGGGTACCCAGGCTCACTCAAGGGCTCATCTGTCCATGAGCCAGGAGGACATCTGTCCCACAGATGGCAGTGGTGTGGGACTCAGTGGTATGGCCCAGAGGGCTTGGAGGCCAGGGCGGGGTACTGCTCCCCAGCAGGCAGCAGGAGTCTTGGAGTAGGAGGGAACTATAGTTCTCAAGGGCACCAAACTTGCCTCGGGAGAGGCCAGCTGCCTCAGGATTTGCCCTTGGCTGACTCTGTGGCCAGCAGCCAGCGGTACCTGGCATCTCCTTGTGTCCCTCTGGAACCAGATGCTTTCTGTTCCTAAAGAGCTTTTACCTCCAGCCCTTGTGTTCTCTTGTGGCCAGTTTTCCATGAGGAATAAGAACATATCTCTGCACACCTGGGGATGTGGGCAAGTGACAGAGCCTGCCACGTCAGGGAGACGACATATGTCTTCTGAAGCATGCTAGCTCGAGATGTGTGAATAAGCTGGCTCCATGCTGCCTGGCCTTTTCTGTCCTGCCACAGTCCCCTGTCCATCATGGATGGACGGGAGGCAGCCCATGTCTTCGAGGATCCAGGGGATACAGTCACACAGAGCACACACACACACAGACAGGACCTCTAATCAGAGTGGAGGTGGAGGGGTCCTAGGTTCCAGGGACCTGGCATGCCATGGAAACACCTGTGCCCAGTAAGATCTTTTCTCCCTTCCCTTTTTTTTCTTGGCTTTCCCAACCCTCTACCCTCCAGGGGCCCCAGACCAGAGGTTTTGGGCCCCCAAGTCATTAGGACATTGTGCCAGCAAGTACAGCCCAGGGGTCCTTCCGTTACCTCCTCCCTCAGCCTGGCAGGAAGGCGGAAACTCTCTTACCCTCATGCCCTCAAATCGTGACAGGGCTCTCAGGGGGCGGAGGGCACGCAGTGTCCGCAGTGACTTGATGGGGCCCATCTCAGCAAAGCCCAGGGTGTTGGCCACCAGGCTGACCAGTGAGACCTGTGGAGGAAAGTGGAGGTAGGACGTGGGACAGGACAGACGGGAGGGCTCGGGGCCACCTCGGGCAGGTGGTGGTGAGAGCCTGCAGGCTTTCCCCAGGTCCAGCCCGGGTGGTTGAGCTTCATAGACTCGTGAGCATGGGGCTAGGTTCCCAGTGTCCAAGCCAGAGGGCTGTGGCCTTAAACCCCGCAAAGAGCCACTGTGCACATCACACATGTGCCATGAAGGAGCCTGCTAACTGTGGGGGTGGGACGCAGCATGCCCAGGCCACACTCAAGAACACTGACTTTGCAGGGAACTCCCATTTGGGGCCTTCTGTCCACATCGGCCTCCTTCCTGACTTCCCTGTGGCACTGTGAATCTACCCTGGTGCTTGGGCCACCTGGGGTGTTGAGGGCGGGGCCAGGACCCATGTCCCACAGCCTCTGGTCCCAGGCTTGGGAGCACTGCAGGGCAGGGGGCTGCACAGGGGCTGGAGGAAACAGAGTCATCTCTGGGTACCTCCTCCCAGAGCAGGGCCTCCAGAGCACCAAGCCCCACCAGCCTGCCCGCCCGCTCCCAACAAGCCACCCTCTACACAGCCATTCTTTCTGAAGCTTGCCCTGCCCGCCCCACCCCTGCTCCCATCTGTTGATGGCAACCCCGTCATCCCAGGGCCAGAGTGTTGTCTCTGCCTCCACTCTTTCTCTGACACCCTGCCTAACCCATCAGGATTTCCTGTTGGCACTGCCTTCAGACTATATCAGATGTCTAAACATTTTCACCAGGCCCGCTGCTGCTGCCCTGAGCGGGATCCCTCATGCCTCCCTGGGGACTGTGGAGCCTCCTAACTCTGCTCCCACTGTGCTCCTGCCCTCTCCGGGGACAGAGCCCCTCTAGAAGCAAAAGCCAGTGCACAGCACTGCTCTGTCACGGCCCTTCAACGCCTTTTGATTTCATTCTAAATAAAAGCTGGTATCTGCACTCTTCCCGAGCAGCCCAGCCAGGTCTCCTGCCCTGCTCCAGTGCCCTGCTCCAGCCACTGCAGTGCACTTCCAGTGTGCCACGCATGCTCCAGCCTCAGGGCCTCTGCGCTGCTCTGCCAACCTCTCTTAGGACGGTCTGCAGACATCTGCCCCACGAGCCCTGACTTCCTTCAGGTCTGCTCAGAAACTGTCTTCCCGGGGCTCGTCTGGGTCAGGTGTTCACAGCTGTGACCCCTGCTCTGCCTCGTGGCTCCTGCTTCTTCTCTCCTTCCCTCCTCTAGTGTCCCCCCTCCCCGCCCCCCGTGCTCCAGGTCTCTTAACCTGACATAGAATCAGTCTATTCCTATGTCTCGTTAGCTATCACCTCCCTACGGGCAGGAGTCTTTGTCTGTCTTGTTTCCTGAAATCTGTAGCACTTCTAGCAGTGCTTGGACATAAGATATGCTTAATGGTACTGACTGATAATAAAGCATGGACAGATGCCGGGAACGTCCTCTTCTAGACTCAAGCTGGAGACCTTCCCCGGGCAGCATGGCCACTGTCAAGAAATCCACTTCCTCTCCTTGTGGTGAATTCAGCAGCTTCTCGACAGGCCTGTCCTCCTGGCCTGTCCTCCTGGCCTGTCCTCCTGGTGCCCTGAGTAGAAAGCACTGTCCCTTTTCTCTTTCTGGCTTCAGCTTGAATTCCCCATGGTGGCAGGTTCTCGGAACTCCTAGCCTCCGCAGGCCTGCCCTGGGGAGCCCTCAGAAGTTCCAACTTCCCAAGAAACCGCAGGAACAGCCGGGCAGGGAGCCCCAGGGGCCTTTCTTTGCCTGAAGGAGGCCCAATGGCCAGGCCAGACTGCCCAGGTCATCTAGAACTGTGTATCCCCAACCCCTGCCATACTGTACCCCTCATCCAGGAACTGGGGTGACAGAGGTCCCGAAAGGTGGCCCAAGGACCTGGGTCTGAGTCTCTCGTATACTCTCCAGCCCATGCAGCGTCTCGTGCTGAGGACCCCATGGTCCACAGACCATCTGCCACCCATGCTTGGTGGTCCAGGCCTGCATCTACCCAGGGCTGAGACCCTCCATTTGGCCTCTAAGTAGGGTGTAGGAACTGAGGCTCTACTGTGACCACGGCAAGTCCCCCTTCTGGTGGACAGAGCCTTTCAAACCTGCACCTTCTGGAAAGGCCTTTGCAGGCTGCAGGTCCTGCCTCTGCTCTGGGCTGCCTGCAGGAACCCCCAAACGTGCATGTACTGGAGCCCTCTGTACGCTTTGCTTACCCCGTGGCCCTCCCCTGGGGCGGCGGCTCTGAGAGCTCCCACCTGCCACGCTCAGGAGCCTGGCTGCAGCCTGCACTGGTGCATTCTGGGCCTGGGGGCCTTCGGCTGGGGCCTTCTCACGTCACCTCCAGTGCGGTGGCTGGTCTACCGTGCCTCCTTGCTCCGCAGGTGACCTCAGCGGTTGTGTCCTCTCTACAGCTTCTCTCTGAGCCTGTCCTGACCTTCCCCAGGCTTCTACCCTGTAGCAAGGAGCCTCTGCACTGCCTAGCCTGAGACACGCTGCGGTCACCTGCAGGGAGGGCTCAGGAAGGTGCGTCTGCCACCTCCTCTTCTGGCCACCTGGAGAAGGGAAGCCCCCATCCACCCTGGCCAAGCCTGGCCTGAATTGCTTTCGTACTGTCTCTTCCCAGCAGGGGCCTTGGCCTCCCCGGTGCTTCTGCTTCTGCTCTAAAGAGGGGTTCCAAAGGTTGGAAAGAGGTCTCCTCTGTCTCCTTTCCCTTCCACACTGGAGACTCTGAGGCCCCACCCCAGCCGGGAGCCCCACACTCACATCCACGATGAGGAAGTCCAGCCAGCACCAGGCGTTGGTGAAGTACTTCTTGAAGCCGTAGGCCACCCACTTGAGCAGCATCTCGAGCACGAAGACGTAGGTGAACATCTTGTCGGCGTACTCCAGCAGCACCTTGATGGTTTTGCGCTCCTCCAGGTAGATGTCCTCAAAGGCCTGCAGGCAAGACAGACAGGTGGGCACAATGTCCTGGGCCTGTAGGAGGCAGCCAGGAGGGCGGGAGCAGAGCTGCTGCGGCCCCTCCTCAGGCACTGCTGGACTGCGCCTCCTCACGCCTTGAATAGGAAGTGGTCTAAACAGTAGGCAGATGGACAGGGCAGCAGCAAGCAAATGGCTCTTCCTTAACGTTCAAGAGCAAGGGTCAGTCTGAGCTGGTGTCTCTAAGATTACCTTTCTCAAAGGTGTGGCCTTCCCATTTTAATCCAGAGAAGGGGCAAGCAGGCTCGGCTCACCACTTCTGAAAGGCGGAAGCTGAGGCAGGAGGGTGGTGCCTGCACACACCCACCCACACAGCCACACCCACACCCACACCCACAGATTTTATTTTATTGTTATTTTTAGTTTTTTGGTACCGGGGATCGAACTCATGACCTTGCGCTTGCCAGGCAGGTGCTTACGCCGCTGAACTAAATCACACACAAAGATTTTAGCGATGAAGTTTAGGAAACACAGAACTAGATGAAGTCAAATCTCTTGCAATCCTCAGAATCTAGGAGTCAAAGTCTTTAAGATGCTAGAGGTGTCATCTGTTTCCATTTGCTTATTCCTGCCACCACCTAATTCCTGAGCCCACAGGGAGGTGCTCTGCTGCCCTATCTTCAGAGCTGTACTGTTCCCAAGTCGCTTCTCCTCCCGAGCGTCCCTGAGGTCTCCATCTAGGCAATTGAACATGTTACCAAGCTCCCAGGGCTGTGGCTTCTCCTGCCCCTCCTGGGCTTCCCCGAGTAACTTCAGGCTTCTGTAAGCTACACTGACCGAGAGAGAGAGCAGCTCACAGTGCCTGGGGATGCACTGCAGAGGTGTAGATACACACAGTGGTGCCTCGGTTTATGAACTTAATTATTTCCATGATTTTGGGAAAGAGGGCCACATTGGTGTGCCTGTGGGAGAGATGGTCACAGTTGTTTTTGTCACCTGAGGCAGAGTCTGCAAACAAAAACAACATTTTACCCAACGCTTCTGTTTGTGAACAAAAGTGTTCATGAACAGAGGTACCCCGTATATGGCTAATTGGGTCAGTGTAGACAGCACAACCATATAGTTTAGGTCTTTAAATGGACTTTGGGAGCTGTTTGAGGTAAAAAGTAGGTATGTACATGTACATACAATCACAATGATCAGTTTTTTAAAAGGTTGCATAATATTTCAATATTTGAAAATGCTACTATTTATTCAGCTAAAAACTTTAGCAAGCACATTTCCAGTTTATCCTGAGTAGGAACAATATGGGAATGCACACCGTGTCAGAGCTTTTGGAGGATCAATTTCTAGGGCTGGATGTTGGGTCAGAGGTGGCTTTGGTACAGGCAGGGCACGGGTCCCTGGAAGGAGACGCTGACTTATGTTCCCTCCACAGAGCATGCACAGGGCTCTTTCCGCACCACCTGAGGCACACCAGCATTGCTACACTTCTCCTCTCTGCCTGGGCTAATGGGCTGAAATTGCATTCTGTTACCTCTTAATTTGTTTCATTATGATGACACCGACATGTTTTTCTTGGGTATGTGCAGTGTTGCTTTTGTGATTACCTATTCATATGCTTTGCCTATTTTTGAGTCTGGTATATTTGGGAAATTTGGTTTTTAGATAAAATTTATCTTAGACTGTTGTGTATCTTTAAATCATGTTTGCTTTTGATTACTATGCTCCATTACCCTTTATTGTTATACCACATAATATAGTTACACCATCTACTATATTTTCATTAGTAAAATCTGTGGTGTGAGATTAAGAAAGCTCTTTCCAGCCAGGTGTGCTGGTGCGCACCTGTCATCAGGCAGACTGGGAAGTAGAGGGAAGGGATCCTGAGTTCAAAGAGAACATGGCCTACGGGTGAGACCACATCAAAAAAAAAAAAAAAGACAGAAGGAAAGAGAGAAAAAGAAAGGAAAAAAGCCCTTTGCCTATCCCAAGGCTTGGAAAAGAAAAAAAATGACAATTAAACCAAGACAAAGCAAAAACCTTTTTAGAAAAGGTTTTTGGTTTGTTTTATATTACAATTTTAAAATTTAAACATTTTGATAAAGTGAATACTTCAATAAATTTTAATAGTTCATTAAATAACTCGCTTAAGATCCACTGATAAGAAGTTAATTTTATCATATACTCCATTTTGCATTTATTTAAATCTATTTTAGGTGCACACATGTGTGCGTGCATACATGCATGCATGCATGCGTGTGTGTTAGGGATAGAACCTAGGGCTACCACAGAGCCACCCACCAGCTCCTGGCATGTGGTTCTCATGCTGTCTACCCTTGAATTAATAACACATGAATTTCTGTGAACTTTGTTTTGCAATCTTCAAGATAAACTTTGGCAATGTTTTATCAAATATGTTCAAAATATGGTTGAAAATTTATTGCTATTTGTTATGTTATTTGTTATGGCTTGTATCTAGATCCCCCCCCACAAAAGCCCCATATGCTCATAGGAGGGGCTTTGCAGAGCTGGCTGGATCTAGGGCATGTGAATATGGATTAAGGCTCTGTGGTAAGTAAAACAATCCACTGATTGGAATTAGCATAGTTCTGGATGTAGACAACAGAAAGCCCTACACTGGGTCATTTGTAACCTAGATGAGATAGAAGCCCAGAAGGCTCCCTACTTTCCTGCTTCCTGTCTGCCCTGCCATGGACTGTTTCTTGTTTGCCATGCTGCCCTGCCTTCTGGACTGAAACCGCTACAGACTGTGAGCTGAAATAAACCTTTTCTCCTCAAATTCAGTGGGTAGGCTTCATGCTGACATGGGACAATTTGATTTGGTTCTTGTCCAATTCAGTTCGCAACCAGAATTTTAGAAAGAATTAAGTCTGTGAACTGAAGCACCACTGTATTTATTCCCGGTTATTTTATGCTTACAGTATCAGGAAAATTTCAGAAATATTATTGATGACTAAATAGTTTGTCAGTATGAAACAGTAACAAGCCAAGTGTGGTGGCGAATGCTGGTGATCATAGCATTCTGGGAGGTAGGACAAGAAGACTGGAAATTTGAGCCTAATTTGGGCATCCTTTTAGTGATTCTGTGAGACTCTTTTTCAAAGTAGAATAAAAGATAAAAGTTCTAGGAATGTGGCTTAGTGAAAAGGTCCTGGCTTTAATCCTCTAGTACCACAAGCAAAAAAAACAAAACAAAACAAAAGCTAAACACAGCAAGAACCATGACAATGTCTTGTATGCTTATTGTATAGCTGACTAAATAATGTTTTTAGTGTTTTATTTCTGCTTTTTTTTAAGGTTATTTTTGTGGCGGGGGGGGCAGAGTTGCACATATGTAGGCAAACACTACGACCAAGTGTCATCCTTAGCCTCCATGTCTACCACTTTTAAATCTTGAATTTATACTAATTAATTGTACTGATTTCAGTTCTTCCATTTTCTAATTTTTTTGTGTTTACTTTTGTTGATTAATTACACTGGTTAGTACTTAAAGACTCATTAAATAACGATCAACAGCTAAAGAGCCAGTAAATGATCATTTTCATAGTCCTAACTTGAATGAAAATGTTTCAAGTGCTATCCTACTGATGATGATGGAAAGTAATTTAAGAGTTCTCCACTAAAGCAGGAAAATAGATTTTATTCCTATTTTACTAGAGTTTTAAACAGCTATTACTTGAAATAATTATGTTTTTTTAAAAATCTGTCCAATCTTAATAGGTAATACAGATTTAGTATCATCTTGTTTTGAAGTCTCATCTAGCTTTTGTCCTTCTGTCTCCAATGGTCTAAATAGGCTGTATCTTATTGGATTTTATTATGTAGGATAGTATAAGCAAAAACCTTTTAAAGACAAGGAGATTATACAGAAACCATTGTTCATTTTGTTAGTCGATTCTAAATACTCTGTAATGCTGTCATTCTCTTGAATGGTTTTACATTGTTTTGATATACTTAATGCTACAGTATACGAAGTTGTACTCAAGGATTTCAAAGAAAGAAACAATATGGTAACTACTTTTAGGTTAGGATTATCTGGTGGTGAAACACTATTCTGCTTAAATGGTTATGTTTTGATCTGCGCTGTTTCGTTGTTATGCCCTCTTTTATCTCAATCTCCACTCCATTATTTACTTTTTTATCTTTATCCTTTTAATTAAAGGAAAAAAAATAGCAGGATATATTATAGTAACCTACTTTGACTTTTCATTACCTTGATTTAAAGCCCTGTATTACTCTCACCATCTGGTTTTTAACTGATGTTCCCCTATTCTGTTTTGCTGGATAGTATCAGGTTCGAAAGTTTAGGCATCAGCTGTGAAGATAATGAGATTCATTATGACGCCCATTCTTGTTGACTTTTGTCTACTTTTGAAGACCTACAATGTCTCCAATGTTTTGGTTTTGTCGGTTTTGTTCTTTACTGTTTTGTTCAATTGTATTATAACTAATGATATAGGCAATTCTATTAGAGATAGCGGGAGGCATTATGGTAACCATTGTTGATCACCTTGTATTATGTTTTTACATTATCTATTATGTCCACCCTTTTGACTTGACCGATTCTGTTCTGTTATGTCACATTTGGTTTTACTCTCTTCCAAAAAAGCAATAAGAACCGTGGGAGCAATGAAACCCAAAATGTGTAATAGTCATGGTACAAAAGAGAAGAAAAGAAAGTGCTCCAAACTATATAACTGCATGTATATTTAAGTGTATAAGATAGAAAATGATATCACAGAGTTTTATTGGATCAATGAACAGAACTGTTTGTAGTATCATTGATGGAATGTCCACTTTACAAGCTCTAATTTTGTGACTTGAACAATTATTTCTAAGATGACAATATGTAATCCATTAACTAGTGATTTCCTACTGTTCATTTTTTTTCTGTAAATCTGTATAACTTGTACCCTTTCCCTGCTTTTTTTTTTCTTTTCTCCTTAAATAAAATTTAAAAAAAAAATAAATAAAAAAAAAATAAAAATCTGTCC